TTTAAAAACCAAGGGTGTCCAGCTAGAGATTATATTTATTTTTGAAAAATATGACAGCTGTTGTAACTAGTATTTGTTAAGCATTTTTTGTGCATGGGTATTTCTATCTTCTTTTTTTCATTTGTTTTTCGAGAGTATTGCCTTAAATTTGGCGCCCAGTTTCCACCCTTGGCTTGCACGTGTGTTGTGTGTGTGTGTGTGTGTTTGCCATGTAAAACGGGGGTTACATGACATTGAAACCGAATTTGAAGGTTTCCCAAAACGCTTTGTATCTCTGTATCTGTATCTGTGTGTCTGAGCTTGTACCTCTGCTGGACTGGGCAAAGTGGTGGCTCTGCTGCCATTTCCCAAAACCCAATCCCATTCCCACTACCATTTCTACCGAAAAAAAACGAAGAGATACAACAACATTAAAAAACCGACACAAAACCAGAATAAAGCGTTGCCCCTTTATTTTTGTTGTTTTTGGTTTACTTTAGCTTCTTCCTTGTTTCTTCTGCTGTAAAGGCGAAAAATATACGCCGAAAATTTGTTGGAATCTCTCTGACGCCCTTGTCACTACATTTTTGGTCATTGGCCTCTCACGTACGCACCCATACACATAGATACGGCACACACACACACACAGATACAATGGCATATAGAGCCATTTGGGACTTGGTAACAAGCGGCGGCATCAGCGGCAAGGAACGCAATGGAACAGAGCCACACACACACACACACACACACCCGCTACACCCTCTGGGAGCACCCCCAAGTTTCCCCCGGGCTCCTCTGGGCTCTCCCAAGTCTCCTGGTTTCCCCCCCAATCCCCCAGAGCAGGCAACAGTCGCCAAGTTCCAGGCGCTTGTCGTTATCGTGCGTTTGGTTCCACCAACAGCAACAACAACAAGAAGCCACCCGCTACTCACACACACACACACTCATATCCCCACTCGCACTCACACTCACACGAGCGGAGCGAAGACCCAACCAGGAAGAAGAAACCAAGCCAATAACGTCATGATCCCGATTCAGAGACGAACTGTGAATACGCTTTCTCAAAGATATATATCATAAAAGATATATTTCAAGCTTATATAATTCATAGAAAATAAATTATATAAATATTTCAAGCTCATTTATAGATGGATTTTATAAAAGGGAGAAATATAAGCTAATTGAATTGATTACAAAGGCTGAAAAATATATAAACTAAATAGGCTTTATTATTTTTTTTTTACTAGAATAATTTTCATTTCAAAGTAACTGCATCCTAGAACTTTAGGAAAAGTTACATACAAATACAGCAACTATCTACAGATAAAGGTAAGTATCTACAGGTACAACTGAATGACTTTTAGAACTTCCTTAGAACTTTTTTTATTATTAATATAATTATTATAATCATTCTTTAATTATTATTAATATTTTTTAATGTTTTGTCATAATTTTATATAAATATTTTGTTGTTAAATCAAGCAATTGTCTTTGTTTTTATTATAAATCCTAAGTAATAAATATAATATTAAGCTTTGTTATTATTTTTTGTTTGCTTACAAAATGGTTATGAACTTGGCTCAGTTAATTATATATGATTTTTATATTATTATTATTTAAGTAGACTTTTGTATAAATTATTTATTCAATTTAAATTGTTTACAATTAATTATTATAACGTTTATATTTTATTATTATAATGATTTTAATAAGTTCCTAGGAATTAACCACTTAATTTAGTGTATTTATGTCAATTTCATTTACTTTTCAATTAATTCAAGTTTTTATTTGGAACAACAAATATCTAGGGATTTGTTTATTTTAATAACAACAACTTAAATACCATTTGCACACCAAAAATCTATATACAAACTAAGGAAATTTCATAAAAAAAAACCTCAAAGAGAAAGCCGGAAGGGAAAAAAAAGGATAGGGTATTCGCAAGCAAAGTGCTTCATTTTCTTTTTTTGTGGCATCGAAATCATAGTCATTTCATCGACATTTCAGCATCAGCGATTGTTTATCAATGTGTAAATAAGCGCTACGTGCGCTAGTGTGCGTGTGGTTGCGCGTGTGTGTGAGTTCCCAAAAATTTCAATAGCAAAGGTCAATGAACTCGCTCGCGTGCGGGAGAAAGGGAGAGAAAGAGGGAAGGCAAGAAGAGAGCGCGTACGTTTTGTTATTTTTTTTTTTGTCTTTCTTTTTCGTTTTACTCTCTTAGCTGCGGCTCACGCTCTCTCTCGCTCCAGCTCTCTTTCTCTTTCGCTCTTGTTGTTGTTGTTGCTTTTGGTTGAATTTGCGCGCGCTGGCTTTTGCTTCCTTGTTGCGTTTTCATTCATAAACAGAGAGCGGCGAACTCGGAACTCGAACTCGAAACTCGAACTCCACTCTGCCTGGAGTTACATATCTCGGCCAGGCCAACGAACTGGGCTTTGTTCTTGCCACCCAAAAAAAAAAACAAGAAGAAAAAAAACGCAGCAAAAGGCAAATGGCAAACGACAAGAGCCGCTGCCACCCACCAAACAGCAAACACCAAACACCCTTAAACCCTTAAACTTAACCCAGTCTATAAGGCAACCTCCACACACACACACGCACACACACAAGCCCCATCATTGGCCAATTATAATGTCATCATTTGAGGCCGAAAAGTGTTGAGCGATTTTTGCGCAAATTCCTGCAACCATTTATGCGCTTAAATAATTAAATAAACTTTGACTAACTGAACTTTAAATGGGGCTTAGCTCTTTCCAATTAATAATTAAATAAAAACTTTTAACTAGATTAAAGAATATCAAAGGGAGAGGCACTAAAAATGTGTTTGAATTTGTGGAAATTGCATGAATTTCCATTTAACATTATGTATTAAGCTTTTGATCTTTAAAATTTGTTATTCATTTATTTAAAATAAGTTAATTAAATCACTTAAAATATAAAATTCGATACCAGGTATGAAAATCTATTTAAAAATTCGATTCAATAATCGATTATTTCGATATGAAAATATCGATGCTATTTTGATAAATGGTGGGTATATTTATAGAATCAAGGGGTAATCTCCCAGGGGCTATATCCTTGCCAGAGGGAGGGGACGGTGGGTTACGGTACTCACTTCAATTGGTCCCGTTGCAGCGGTGGCATCTTTGTGGCATTCGGCTGGCGCTCATTTGGTGCGTCCAGCGTTTGCGATTACCGATGATAGCGATCGATAGCCGATAGTCAATATCGATACCGATGACGATGGCAATGGGGCTGGGGCGATATCCATGCTCTGCCGCAAATGCACACTTTTTTTTCGTTTTGTTTTCTAAGTATTTCCTTTGGAAGTTAATTTTTTGTTTGGCTTTGTGGTTTGTTTTAGATTCACTTTATCATATCTTTGCTATATTCTTTCAATTTTTTTTCTTACTTTATTGTAAGACACTCGCACAAATACACAAGCTCTGCTTCTATTTAAATTTTGTATATTTTTAAGGGCTTTTTGGGGGCCTTTTTTTGGGGGGGTTTTAAAACGCCTTTAGCACGGTTTTTGTTCACTTTAATGTAAGAATTTGCCGGTTTTTTGTTGTTGTTGATTCAAGACTTGGCAGCTGTTGATTTGCTTTTCCTCATTTTCTGGCTTTTCAGTTAGATTTTCCTTTATTTTATTTTTTTTTTTTTTAGGGAGGATGTGGGGAAAACGTCAGCTGCAACACACAAATGCACGTAAAAAATAGTATTAAAAAAAAAACAACGTTACGTAGTGCGGCCAAAATGTCAAATGCATTTTTCAAAATTTTGAAAAAATGTGATTTTGATTATTTTGAATTTTTCTTGATTTAAATCCACTCACACAAACAAAGAGTTGCACACGCACACAGGCACACAAAACAAAAACAAATCGCACAGAGAATTTTTTTTCGAAACTTCAATCTCTGGTTAATAACAATTAATTAATTAGCTATTTGCGCTTAATTTTGTTGCATCTTCCTTTTGCACTTGTCATTTTGGCACACACACACACACACACACACGCAAACGCAAACGCGAAATGCACTTGAACGAAGAGAGCGAGCGGGCGAGAGGAAGAAAGAAAGAGAGCGGGGGCGATGGTTTTTCCCTTTTTCCAATGAACTTCCACTGAACTTCCACTTTATTTATCCAAATCTTTGTGGGGATAACACACACACAACTCTTTGCTGGCCGCCAAAGAATAAAAAACGTTAAAAAAAATAGTTTGTTTCGTATGTTTTCGTATTTTTGTGTTTTGATTTCAATTTAAAACTTTTCGTTTGTTTTGCTTTTTTTTTCAATTTTGGCCCGGTAAGACGTCGGATTTTGAACCCACAACGGAAACTCGTTCGATGCACTCGAGCGCGCGACAAATTTAGAAATAACAATAACAACAGGGTTGTTGATGAAAACTTTTATATCGTGAAATGTTTTTGCCCGAAATTGCGGCATTTTTGCTTGATATTTTTTGATATTTTCTCGCTGGTCACTCTGAATTTCAAACTGTAAGTTTTTAACATAGAAATTCTCTCGATCACAGAATTTTCTGTTAAAATGAGATGCAAACAGCATTTTTTGGTATTTTTTGATATTTTCTCCTGAATTTGCCGAAAAGTCTGGCAAAACCAGCCCGATAAATCGAATATCGATATTTTTGAACCAAAAAAAAATGTAGAAATGTCTTTTAAATTGTTGGTTGAAAACTTTGTTAAATTACTCTTAACATTAACATTAGCATTAACTTTAACAGGGTTGGGTTAACAGAGAACAATTTGTTAGCCAGGTGGCGCCAGAAACCTAACTTTAAGTAGCAGAGTTTCGCTCCTTTAAATTAATGTATTTTTTACCTGTTTTTAAATTTATATTAAAATTTTTTTTTTATTATCACTTTAACTCTTAAAAATAAATAAAATAAAAAAAACGTATTCTTTGGCTATAGGTTTTTCCTTTCCCCAATTTTATTCACCATTTAAGTGTGACCAGGCTTTTTGCCAGCCAAAATCCTCTCTTCCTCCCAACTTTTTCGCCATTTTCAACTGCAAACTAGCACACTCAAAGCAAAATAGTTTGATATATATAAAAATATTTAATTTTCCTGGGAATCCCGCTCAAGGCCCGCCGCGCTCCACCCCCCCACCGGCATGACCGTCTCCAATGCTGTGGACCAATTCACCATGCTAACCGGCGACCGCTCCAAGATCAAGGACTTGCTTTGCAGCCGGCTAACAGAGTGCGGCTGGCGGGACGAAGTGCGTCTACTTTGCCGCTCCATCCTCCTAGAAAAGGGATCCAACAATAGCTTCACCGTGGAGCAGCTGGTATCGGAGGTGACACCCAAGGCCCGCACCCTGGTCCCGGATGCAGTCAAAAAGGAGCTGCTGATGAAGATACGCACCATCCTAACGGAGAACGAGAACGAGGATGATGATGATGATGAAGTGGAAGAGCAAGAAGATGAACCTTAAACTAAGACACCTAAAGCATGCATGATTGAGAATTTCTTTTTTAAAGGAAAATCTACAGTGCAATTACACGATATTTATTTGTACGATTTTTATACATAAATATCCCCTGGAAAGGGAATGGGTTTATACACACACACACAAACACACATTCAGTCGGGTGTGGGGCACACGGAGCTGTTGCTGGCAAAGTCAAAGCCCTCGGGGTCGGGTATTTCAATGAGGGACTTGGGTACAATGGTCAAAGGAGCAGCCATGCCGGGTAGAAGATGGACACCACCCGTTGTTGTCGTCGTCGTGGGAAGAGTTGTCTGTGATGGAGGAGGTTGCAGCGGAACTGGTGGTGGAGCCAAAGCTAAGGATGTGCTGGTGTTGCCTTGGGCTAGGCTGCTGCTGGGCTGTGAATACTTGCGCACCCACTCATTCGGATGCATCTTCTTTTTGTGGTTGTGCATGTTGGCGTGCGACTTGAAAGTGCGTGTACAAAACTGACACTGATACAGATCAATGCCCGTATGGGTGGCCATGTGTTCCTATAAAAGAAAGAAAGGCTATTAAAAGTGGCCACTAGAATTTCTTCTCCAATAACTCACAGCCAATGCTCGGGGCAGCTTAAATTCCTTGTCGCAGAGACTGCATTTGTGCCGCTTGGCGGAGTGATGGTACCGCATGTGGCTGCTGAGTGCGGCACGGGATGACTTCTCTGCATTACAGAGCAGGCATCGGTACTTAGTGTCACCGTCACGATCATCGTGTCTAGCAAGATGCTTGCGCAGGCTACGCTCGTCCCGCAGCCAGCGGCCGCATAGGGTACACTGAACCTCCGCCACGGGCCCATCCGGATGCAATGCCTTCTTGTGTATAAGAAAATTGGCCTTGGAACGGAAATGTGTACCACAAATGTCACAAATGATGGGTGTAAAATCAGCAGCATGCATGCGCTTAACATGGGCACTCAGCTCGAATTTGGTGCGGAATCTGCAGGATTACAAAAAAAAGTAAGAGAGTAAAGATTGATCATTAATTTAGCACTCACGTCTTGCCGCAATCCTCGCACACTTCGGGCCGTTCGGTACCCTTGTGCCCCTTGAGATGCATGGTCAGCAGAAATTTCTTGGCAAAACGCGCCTCACAGATGGCACACTGATGGACCAGCTCCTGTTGTTGCGAATGGAAGCGCAGCATATGCATCACCTGGCTATTCCGATTAAGAAAGTTCTTTCGACAACTCTGGCAGCTAAAATACTGCGGATCCTTGTGGCAATGCAGATGATCCACATACAATGTCCTCTTTTTGTAACGATTATTGCAGCACTTGACAAAGCCCGTACAGTCATGCTCCACACGAAAGTGACGCTTGAGATCATTAAAGTCCTCTAGAGGGGCAGCGCATAGGGCGCAATCCAGCTTCACATTGGCGGCTATATAGTCATCCATTTCCTTGATGCTGCTGCGTTTGACAGGGGCTTCCATATCATCATCGCCTGGTTCCTTTTTGATTTTCGGTCGGCCACGCTTGCCACTGGGCTTGGGCTTTTCCATACCTTCCGCCGTCATGATCTCCTTCTCCTCCTCTTCCTCCTCATCATCATCATCCTCCTCATCCTCCTCGTTACTGGTGCGCTTCAGCTCTCTCAAACGTGCCCGTGACTCGCGTAGTGACAACTCCTGCTTGGCGGCCGGCTTGGGTCGCTTCTCATACTTCCGCTTGATGATCTGCTGTGTCTGCTGCAGCGGCGTCTTGCGCGGCCTGCCCCGGCGGCGTGGCTTGACCGGATCCGGCTTGGGCTCTAGCTCGCCCTCGCCCTCGGATTGATAGCCGGCCGCAGGCTCAAAGTCCGGCTCAAAGGTGTCGCCATAATCGCTGTCCTTGTCATCGCCAGCGGACATGGCATCGATGACCGGTTCGCATAGTATATGATCCTTGATATCGTCGCCCTCAAAGCCCAGCTTTGGCTCAATGGGCGTGGTCTCCGTGTTCCATACCACCATGGCGGGCTCTGGTTCCGGTTCGGCCAGCTCCGGCAGCTCGGGCACCTCGGTCTTGAGCTGCAGGGAGCGGTGCAGCGAGCGTTGCTTTTCCGCCACCATTGAGCAAAAGTGCTCGATGTCGCCCAACTGTTGCCAGCATCGGTGGCACAGGCTGGTGGACACGGCATCATTGGCCGCCAGCTAAGAAGGGGAAGGGGGTTAGTTAGGAAAAAGGGTTTCCTTTCTTTTCTTGCATTTTTTTTTTTCCAAGGGGGAGGAGAAAACTCACCACCAGCTGCAGGTGCCGCTCGATCAGCAGAGCCGGCGGCATGGTCGTCGCCGCTGCTTCCTGCCCGAAAATGGGCACACCGTGCTCAGCATCCTCCAGACAGAGTCGGCATATCATCTCATAAAATAGTTTATAATAATACAAATTAAATGCAAACAGCGCAGCTGTTTTTTTGATTCGTTTGCTGAGTTGTTGGCGCTGGCGTTGCCGGATCGTCGCATAAAGCCACCGCGACGCAAGCCAGTGATGCCCAAATAAAACTAGCTAGAAAAAAAGCTAGATTATGATTTATTTTATTTAAAACTAAAAAAAGTGAATAACCATTTCAAATTTGGATATAAATTTTAATAAAAACCATCAGAAGGAAAATCAGATAGAAAAAAACCACGATTGATATAATTTTGATCCAAATTTTAATAAACATATTGAGAGGGAGCGTTAAAAAAGTGAATAAACATTTGGAATTTGGATATAAAGCCTTAGTTAAGTTGGAATCTACAGCTATCTGGTTTTAACAAAGCCAAAGGGTAAGTCCTATAATTACTTGAAACTACTCTATTTCAGTTTCGTTGTTGGCCAAAACCGCAAATTGATTTGGATTGGAGATCGTCTTAAGATCCAATTTCCCATGACCGAAGGAAGGTGACTGGCCTTTTACGGGTTTCGGCAATGTTTTCGGCTTCTTTTTGCGCTCTGAGATAATCTCCTTAAAGACCAGTTCTTCGGGCTCGGTTTTGTTCAGCACTTTTAAATTTTCCACCGATAAGTTGTTGTCATCAACCTTTCCTGTCTCCTCAACCAGAGCCTTCTCAATGGTATTGGCCAGGTCTTCTGTTTTTCCCTGCTTTGGCTTTCTCTCCATCTGCATATTGGCCAAAAATTCGTCGACACTGGGCGGTAATAACTGGACAGCAGGATCTTGACGTAAACCCCGGGTTAGCAGATAATCATCTACAACCCGCATTATATGGCTCATGCAAGTGCGCAGCATCCGGTCCATGAATCCAACAACCCCAATTGTTGCATCGACAAGGGTATGGTCGATGATACCCTCATTGTTGCTAAAAAAGGAATACAGGAAGTCCTCGTAGATCACCTGACTGCCGCCACCAATAGAAGGCAGTAGCCAGCACACGAAGATCAGCTTCATCTCGCCCAGTAACGGTATAGTATCCGCAAGGTCCATGGACAGTACGTCAAACACAGACCAGACACCGTACACAATCCAATAGGTCAGCCAGATACTTAGGTTTTCGTTGCTCTCATTGCCATTGGGACGCTGCTGTTGGGCGTTTAGGAATTTGAATGAAACGAAAGCCGGGTAGAAACAGCCCGCGATTAGGGTGACAAATCGCAAAGTGTTTTCATATATGCTAAACATTGTGTTTTCGGAGGTTTTTTTTTTGGTATTCAATTTTGAAAAATCGTTTTTTTTTTACTGTTTCGTGTGGGAAATATTATTATAGAGGGCTGCCTACGTTAACGGCGTACAAAGTTGTGAACAATTCGTTCTGAAAATACTGACATTAAATTCATGGATGGCTAGTTTTAAATGAAAGATTCCAAACAAATTAATATAGCTTGCTGCGTTGAAAAATATTTGTTTTTAAAAAAAAGCTAAGTTTTTGAAACCGCGAAAATAGCTAGAATGACCACCATCGATGTGGCAACTCTGCTTAGTTAGTGCTTCAAATATCGTTATATCGATATATTGATATTTTGCTATATTTATCAGCAATCCCTAATTTAAACCAAAGACGCGAAGCGAAAACTTATCTGCAAAAAAATATTAAAAATGCGTAGAGTAAGCTCCGCCGCCTTATTAACAAATGTGGAAGCCGCCGAGGCCAACAAGTCTTGTGAAGACATATCAGATATCGATCTAAATGAGGTGCCCGCCCAGCTGGAGGCCACTCTACATCATCACAGATCCCGGGGCAGTTGTGTCAGTCTGTTTAACATGGATTTGGCCGAATGTAAGTCTCCTGCCCGCTAAAGTGGCTCATATTAACGTAATATTCACACAATTTCCAACTTTATAGTCATGATAGACTCCACAATGGTGGACACTGTGCAGCAGCATCAGGAACGCGCCAAGGAGGAGGAGAAGAACTGGTACACACTGGTCTCCAAGGCTGTGAAATCCTCCAAGGAGGCCGCCACACGGCAGTATACCTTTGAGCCAAGTGAGGAACAGCAGCGTTATCTCAAGGAGTGTCCCAATTTGCAGAATTTCATACGCGGCTCGTTGCCTTTTATGGACAAAGTCACCAGGTTTCTGGAGGAGCACAAAGAGGTAATGGATCTCCAGGATGAGCTGGCGGAACATGTCCAATTTCAGCTAAACAGCAAGGTCAACAATGCCATACACGAGAATCTAGCTGGCAACCGGCGGAACTAGAAAATAATCCGGCTGGACTGGGAAGGATTTTGATGTTTAGTTTGATATTCTTTCCAGTTTTAAATGTTACTCCATGCCATTTTTTTATACTGCTTTATTTACCTACAATTTAAATGTAAATAATACAATTCTCAGCAATTTTATATGTGCTTAAGCTGGTCTAACTCATTTTACGATTAAGCAAAGGCTTGGCTTAAGTAGGGGGTATTTTTTTTTTTAAATTAATTTATTATGAATGCCTAATATCTGAAGAATATTTTGTGAAAGTTTCACAACGATCAAATTAAAATTAACAAAGTTATGCTTAGTTGAACGGAGGTCTTTCTCCTGAAAATTGTAATTTTAAAAGTCCTTGTAAACTATAAAAATATTTTAAAATCCATTGAACCAATTATTTTAAAATTTGGCCCATAAATTCTTTAACTAATTCATCAAGCTTTTTTTTTTAATTTTCAGTTTTATTATATTTTTTTAAACAAACTAACTTATTTTTGTTAGTCAAAATTAAGGGTTTTGATTTCTAGTTTTAATAAAAATTCAAAAAAAAAATGTTAAAAATTAAAAAACCATACAAGTACCTCAGAACACTTTTCCTTTAACAAATACATTATAATTTTGATAAAGATCGGATGTTTTTGTGGACAATTTGGTTGCACAAAGCAAATCCATAGTTTTTTTAAGGAGACTCCTAAGATAACCTATAACTCCTATATCCCTAAATATTTTTCATTACAAAATTTAACATAAAGTGTTGAAATATTACATTATAAAATAATATTTAATTCATTAAGCTAACTTTTAACGTTTCGTTGCTAAAATTTATTGAAAGATGCCCCATTTTGCAACAAATTCAACTTGCCGTCTCTCTCCGACTTCAGGCCTCTGTAACTCTAGCTCTCCCTTTCACTCTCATGTGGCAAAGTCCATGAAAGGGGTTCCAATTTAAAAATCATTAAACAAGAGACATTTTTTTTATAAGAAACTGGAAGCATTTATGTATGTCTGCCTGTATGTGAACTCAAATTAACAAGGAGTTTGGTTTCTAGTCTACTTAGGCCTTAGGTTTATATTTAACTTGGGTTTATTCCTTGTTCCAGGCGGCCAGGTACTTCATGAGGTCGGTGAGGCTCTCGAAGTCAGTGCGGCTGCTGGGTGGTTCATCCTTAGAGATGCGAGGCAGTGCCTTGCCCATTTTCAGGCGAAACTCCTGGAACTGGGAACAGAAGAAAAAGATAAAAAGAGGGAAAGGAGAGAGTTTTAAGCCCAGTGTACTCTTACATCTTTGGCCCCGCTCAGCTTCCAGAAGCCATAGCAAAAGGCACCCGTGCCCAGGACCGCATACAGAGTGCCCCAGCCGAGGGCACGCATGGCCAGGGTAGCGCCCTCATCCATCAGAATGATGCCCTGCCGGGTGCCAGCCTGCTGCAACACCTTGCTGTCTGCCTTCTTGGCGGTGGCCAGCGTGCGCGAGAATCCAAACAGTGCGGATACACCGCCCACTAAGCCCAGGAAAGCGGCGGCTGTCCAAAAGAGCAAGAAGAAAGTGTCTGCTTGGAAGGTCTTATTATCTCTCGGGTTACAGGGACCAACTTACCTTGTATGCGAAACTTGCGCTGCTTTTCGTCGGCCGCCAGGGCATCCGCATTGGGGCCGGCCTCGCTCATCCTTCCTTCAGTTTTGTGTCCTGGCCTGACTTTGTCCTTGTCCTGACTTATTTTTATTGTCGTAATTCACCAAAACACACAGCTGATCGGCCAGCGGAATTACACCGGCCGGGGCTATCGATAGCTATAAGCAATCGATACTTGTTTTAATTTTAAATTTTAATTAATTGGAAATATTAGTTTTCCTTTTTCTGAAAATTTATAAAACTGTTAATTCTGTCAGAATATCAAAGTCCTAAAAAAATATATTTATTTATTAAATGCCAACGATAGCTCTTAGTGGCTGCAAGAACTATCGATTGCACTTAATATCGATGCCAGTGCGATACCGCAATCGACTTTTTGACCTGCTCTAGCGTGGTCCGCGTTTTCACAAAAAACGCGAAAAACTGTATTCTTATCGTTTTTGCGCGAATCCGTTGAAGAATGCACTTCGAAAGCGGCAAAAACAAAAACTGATTGTTTACCCAACCGGCCTGCACTCTTTTCCGTTATTTTCCTTTGCTATCCGTGCTCGCCTCCTCCGTTTTCGCGAGCTGCGAAGAAGTTGGGTGAAAAGCAAAAGTGTGACGACGCAGCAGGCAGCAGCATCGGAAAGTTAGGCAGCTGCTTTTAGTGGGGTCCCAGCAGCCAGGATGAGCACCACCACTGACTCGAAGGCGCCGCTGCGCCAGGTGAAGCGCGTACAGTTTGGCATTTTGTCACCTGATGAAATTGTGAGTGCATCCAGCAGCAGCAACAGTTCCCCTTCCCCCCTCATTCCCATGCCCTACCGTCTGCGACGCCATATTGAAAAAAAAGAGTATCGAAAATTTGACCGAATTTGCAATCGCATGGAATATGCAAAAAATAAACAATGGATAATAATTATGCTTACAAAGGTTTTATCTTGTCGAGTTATAGGTTGCACTATGTTTAGTAAGCCTTTATTTACTTGAATGTTTAGGTATTTGTAAGCAACTACTGGAAGAAGTGCGATCAAGGAGAGTTCCTGGGAATAGAGTGAGGATCAAGGGAAAGATATGAATTATATTTATGCGTTTTTCGCTAGTTTAGTTTTATATCACAACTCATAAAAGAGAGAAAGGAACTTCTGTAGGTTCTTGGGTTTTAATTACTATTTTTTCCTTATCAAAATTCTCTGCAGGTGAGAGGTATCAATAGCTTTTCAAGGAACCAAACACAAATTCAACACCTTTTAAGGTTGTTTTCTGTGGAAATTAAAAGCAAAATACAAAAGACTTGATGGTTTTCTGGAAAATATATTTATCAAACCCACAAGAACAAGAGGGAAATAGAAAATTAAAAACAGGTTATTCTTTAGGATTTAAAATGTGCAAACTTAAATAGGATAATTATTTTATTTATAATTATTTTTTAACCATCAAAACCTGCCCCCCAAAAAGTCTTTAATTTCCACCCAGAAATACCCTTTAGATCCTTAACCAGCCTTAACTTATAATCTCTTCCTCCTCCAGCGCCGCATGTCCGTCACCGAAGGTGGCGTCCAGTTTGCCGAGACCATGGAGGGCGGCCGTCCCAAGCTGGGTGGCCTCATGGATCCCCGTCAGGGTGTCATTGACAGGACCTCACGATGTCAGACCTGTGCCGGCAACATGACCGAATGCCCCGGCCATTTTGGACACATTGACCTAGCCAAACCGGTCTTCCACATTGGGTTCGTCACCAAGACCATCAAGATCCTGCGCTGCGTATGCTTCTACTGCTCCAAAATGCTGGTCTCACCGCAAAATCCCAAAATCAAGGAGATTATGCTCAAGTCAAAGGGACAGCCGCGCAAACGTTTGGCCTATGTCTACGATTTGTGCAAGGGCAAGACCATTTGCGAGGGTGGTGAGGATATGGACTTGACCAAGGACAACCAGGCGCCGGATCCCAACAAGAAACCCGGTCATGGCGGTTGCGGTCACTATCAGCCGTCCATCCGGAGAACAGGCTTGGATCTAACCGCCGAATGGAAGCATGCCAACGAAGATTCGCAGGAGAAGAAGATTGTGGTGTCGGCGGAGCGCGTATGGGAGATTCTTAAGCACATCACCGACGAGGAATGCATACTCCTGGGCATGGATCCTAAATTTGCCCGCCCCGATTGGATGATTGTCACCGTGTTGCCTGTACCCCCGCTGGCTGTACGTCCAGCGGTTGTGATGTTCGGAGCGGCTAAGAATCAGGATGATTTGACCCACAAGCTATCGGATATTATCAAGGCCAACAATGAGTTGCGTAAGAATGAGGCCAGTGGTGCGGCGGCGCATGTGATCCAGGAGAATATCAAAATGCTGCAATTCCATGTGGCCACATTGGTGGACAACGATATGCCCGGCATGCCCAGGGCCATGCAAAAGTCCGGCAAACCCTTAAAGGCCATCAAGGCGCGCCTAAAGGGTAAAGAGGGTAGAATTCGTGGCAATTTGATGGGCAAACGTGTTGATTTCTCGGCGCGTACTGTCATCACACCGGATCCCAATTTGCGTATCGATCAGGTCGGTGTACCGCGCTCCATTGCCCAGAATCTAACCTTTCCCGAGCTGGTCACTCCGTTCAATATTGATCGCATGCAGGAGCTGGTGCGTCGCGGTAATTCGCAATATCCGGGAGCCAAGTACATTGTGCGGGACAATGGCGAGCGTATTGATTTGCGTTTTCATCCCAAATCATCGGATTTGCATCTTCAATGTGGTTACAAAGTGGAACGGCATTTGCGTGACGACGATCTGGTGATCTTCAATCGTCAACCGACGCTCCATAAGATGAGTATGATGGGTCACAGGGTGAAGGTATTGCCCTGGTCCACCTTTCGCATGAATCTCTCGTGTACATCGCCCTACAATGCTGATTTCGATGGTGACGAGATGAATCTTCATGTTCCCCAGTCCATGGAGACGCGTGCCGAGGTGGAGAATATACACATAACCCCCAGACAGATTATAACGCCGCAGGCCAACAAACCCGTCATGGGCATTGTCCAGGACACACTGACTGCGGTGCGTAAGATGACCAAACGTGATGTCTTTATAACCCGCGAACAGATGATGAATCTACTGATGTTCCTGCCCACCTGGGATGGCAAAATGCCGCAGCCATGCATCCTAAAACCACGTCCCTTGTGGACCGGCAAGCAGATCTTCTCGCTGATTATACCCGGCAATGTGAACATGATTAGGACACACTCGACGCATCCCGACGAGGAGGACGATGGTCCCTACAAATGGATATCGCCCGGTGACACCAAGGTAATGGTGGAGCATGGTGAACTTATAATGGGTATTCTGTGCAAAAAGACATTGGGCACATCGGCTGGCTCCCTGTTGCATATTTGTTTCCTAGAATTGGGACACGAGATTGCGGGCAGATTCTATGGCAACATTCAAACGGTGATCAATAATTGGCTACTCCTGGAGGGACATAGTATAGGCATTGGTGACACCATTGCCGATCCCCAGACCTACAATGAAATCCAAATGGCCATCAAAAAGGCCAAGGATGATGTCATCAATGTTATCCAAAAGGCGCACAACATGGAGCTGGAGCCAACGCCGGGCAATACCCTACGTCAGACCTTTGAGAACAAGGTGAATCGTATTTTGAACGATGCTCGTGACAAGACCGGTGGCTCTGCCAAGAAATCCCTTACCGAGTACAACAATCTAAAGGCCATGGTGGTGTCCGGTTCCAAGGGTTCCAACATTAACATCTCCCAGGTTATTGCCTGTGTGGGCCAGCAGAATGTGGAGGGTAAACGTATACCCTATGGATTCCGTAAGCGCACATTGCCGCATTTCATCAAGGATGATTATGGTCCCGAGTCGCGTGGTTTTGTGGAGAATTCCTATCTGGCCGGTTTGACACCCTCTGAGTTCTATTTCCATGCCATGGGAGGTCGTGAGGGTCTTATTGATACCGCCGTTAAGACAGCCGAAACTGGTTATATTCAGCGACGTCTCATCAAGGCCATGGAGTCGGTAATGGTGAACTATGATGGCACAGTGCGTAACTCGGTGGGTCAACTCATCCAGTTGCGTTACGGCGAGGATGGTCTATGCGGTGAGTTGGTGGAATTCCAGAATTTGCCCACCGTAAAGCTCTCCAACAAGGCCTTTGAGAAGCGTTTCAAGTTTGACTGGAGCAATGAGCGTTACATGCGGAAGGTTTTCAATGATGATGTGATCAAGGAGGTCACCGATAGCAGCGAGGCCATCCAGGAATTGGAGGCTGAATGGGATCACCTGGTCTCCGATCGTGACAGTTTGCGACAGATCTTTCCCAATGGCGATTCCAAGGTGGTCTTGCCCTGCAATCTTCAGCGTATGATCTGGAATGTTCAGAAGATCTTTCATATCAATAAACGTTTACCCACGGATCTGTCACCCATGCGGGTGATCAATGGCGTCAAGGGTTTGCTAGAGCGTTGCGTTATTGTGACGGGCAATGATCGCATATCGAAGCAGGCCAATGAAAATGCCACCTTGCTCTTCCAATGCCTCATCAGATCCACACTCTGCACGAAGTATGTGTCCGAGGAGTTCCGTTTATCCGCCGAGGCCTTTGAGTGGTTAATTGGTGAAATTGAAACCCGATTCCAGCAGGCTCAGGCAAATCCCGGCGAGATGGTTGGTGCCTTGGCTGCCCAAAGTTTGGGTGAGCCTGCCACTCAGATGACCCTAAACACTTTCCATTTTGCTGGTGTCTCCTCAAAGAACGTAACCCTGGGTGTGCCCCGACTCAAGGAGATTATTAATATCTCCAAGAAGCCCAAGGCTCCCTCACTCACAGTCTTTCTTACCGGCGGCGCTGCACGTGATGCGGAAAAGGCCAAGAATGTGTTGTGCCGATTAGAGCATACCACATTGCGTAAGGTCACTGCAAATACGGCCATTTACTATGATCCAGATCCCCAGAGAACGGTGATATCCGAGGATCAGGAGTTTGTTAATGTTTACTACGAAATGCCCGACTTTGATCCCACACGCATCTCACCCTGGTTGCTCCGCATCGAACTGGATCGCAAGAGGATGACAGACAAGAAGCTAACCATGGAGCAAATTGCTGAGAAGATCAATGTGGGCTTTGGTGAGGATCTCAATTGTATCTTCAATGATGACAATGCCGATAAGCTGGTGCTGCGAATCAGGATCATGAATAACGAGGAGAACAAGTTCCAGGATGAGGATGAGGCTGTGGATAAGATGGAGGATGATATGTTCCTGCGCTGCATCGAAGCCAACATGCTGTCGGATATGACGCTCCAGGGCATCGAGGCCATTGGCAAGGTGTATATGCATCTCCCGCAAACAGACAGCAAAAAGCGTATTGTTATCACGGAAACGGGAGAGTTCAAGGCCATTGGCGAGTGGCTCCTCGAAACAGACGGCACATCGATGATGAAGGTGCTCTCCGAGCGGGATGTTGACCCTATACGCACCTCCTCCAACGACATTTGTGAGATCTTCCAGGTGCTGGGCATCGAGGCGGTGCGCAAATCCGTGGAGAAGGAAATGAATGCCGTTTTGCAGTTTTATGGTCTTTACGTGAACTACCGACACTTGGCCTTGTTGTGTGACGTGATGACCGCCAAGGGTCACTTGATGGCCATCACCCGTCATGGCATCAATAGGCAGGATACCGGTGCCCTTATGCGTTGCTCCTTCGAGGAAACAGTGGATGTCCTTATGGATGCCGCTGCCCATGCCGAAACGGATCCCATGAGGGGCGTCTCCGAGAATATTATTATGGGACAGTTGCCGAAAATGGGTACCGGATGCTTTGACCTGCTACTGGATGCCGAAAAGTGCCGATTTGGCATTGAGATACCCAATACCTTGGGCAGCAGTATGCTGGGCGGTGCAGCCATGTTCATTGGTGGTGGCTCCACGCCAAGCATGACGCCGCCCATGACGCCGTGGGTTAACTGCAATACGCCGCGTTACTTCTCGCCGCCAGGTCATGGTGAGTATTCCCTTAGAAAAACTTGAAAACTTTATTTTTAACACAAATCTATATTTCCATCTCTTTCTTTTCTGCATTAACAGTGAGTGCCATGACCCCAGGTGGACCCAGTTTCTCGCCCTCGGCAGCCTCGGATGCATCTGGTATGTCACCCAGTTGGTCACCAGCTCATCCGGGCTCCTCGCCCAGCTCACCGGGACCCTCGATGTCACCCTATTTCCCGGCCTCGCCCAGTGTATCGCCATCGTATTCGCCCACAAGTCCCAACTATACGGCCTCATCGCCGGGAGGTGCTTCACCGAATTACTCGCCCTCCAGTCCCAATTATTCGCCAACATCGCCGCTATATGCATCGGCAAGTCCACGTTATGCCTCAACCACACCGAACTTTAATCCACAGTCGACGGGTTATTCGCCTTCATCATCGGGATATTCGCCAACGTCACCGGTTTACTCGCCCACATCCAATTTCCAGTCGAGTCCCTCGTTTGCCGGCAGCGGCAGCAATATGTACTCGCCGGGCAATGCCTATTCACCCAGCTCGTCCAATTATTCACCCAATTCACCTTCCTATTCGCCAACATCGCCATCGTATTCGCCTTCGAGTCCCTCGTACTCGCCGACGTCACCATGTTATTCGCCAACGTCGCCCTCGTATTCACCAACGAGTCCAAATTATACGCCTGTGACTCCATCTTATTCGCCGACGAGTCCAAATTATTCAGCATCGCCACATTATTCACCAGCCTCGCCGGCCTACTCGCAGACGGGTGTAAAGTACTCGCCCACATCACCGACATACTCGCCGCCATCACCCTCGTACGATGGGTCACCAGGATCACCGCAATATACGCCCGGTTCACCGCAGTACTCGCCGGCTTCGCCTAAATATTCACCCACGTCACCGCTGTACTCGCCCAGTTCGCCGCAGCACTCGCCGTCGAATCAGTATAGTCCCACTGGGTCGACATACTCGGCGACAAGTCCGCGTTATTCGCCCAACATGTCCATTTACTCGCCCAGCAGCACCAAGTACTCGCCGACATCGCCAACGTATACGCCAACGGCACGCAACTATTCGCCCACATCGCCGATGTACTCGCCGACGGCGCCATCGCATTACAGTCCCACAAGTCCGGCGTACTCGCCCAGTAGTCCCACGTTTGAGGAGAGTGACGACTAAGAAGGGATCATGAGACTAACGAGTAAATAGTGAAAGAGAGTAACGAGTTAATAGTGAAAGAGAGTGACGATTGAGGAAACTAACAAGTTAGTAGTGAAGGAGAGTAAATGAAGGCATGTAGTGGGTGAGTTAAAACCTTAGATTATTCGCTACTTTCAGGGTTAAACGTTTTTATTTAAAAATTTCAAAGTTTGAGAACTTAACAGGATCCTTGACCAACACACTGACGATTACTTTAAGATTTCCTAGATTTTTTGCATTCGCCACAGTTGAAACTAAAGAATTATAAATACGAAATTATTGATGTTTCTTAATTTGTATTTTATTTTAATTTTTGTAAAGCTGCAAAACACCATAATATTTAAGTTTAAAGCGAAAAAAAAGAGAGAATTATGAATAAACCCACTACTATAGGTAACGTTTTCTAAATATCCACATTTTTTTTTTCAAAAACACAAGTTATGTCCTGCAATTCAGAGGGAAAGTTTCGTTGCCTGCATATTACACTGTATATATATATATATATGGGCATGCATATATCTATACCTATATATCTATATATATCTATATATATTTTTACGACCAAAAGCGAAACCCTTTTTGTAAATTTAGACCCATAGTAAAATATTAAATAAAAAAAAAATGATAAAAACAAAAATACTAAAATGTAATAAGTGTAATTTATTTTTGTTTATTCGTTTTCCAAAAAGGTTGAACCAAAAAAAGGAAAGTGAAAGCAAAGCTTTCAAGAGAGTCCAGTGAGAAGGAGATGATGTTCGTTGTGAGATGCTTCTTTTAGTAAAGAGCTTAAAACATACATATTAAAACATAAATTATGTAAAAAATTCAGATTTTCAGTTAAGTTAAAGTTTTATGATGGAATAGATCGTCTTGGGGGGCTGGGAGGGGGTCATCTTCATCTTCCTTAGTCTTCATCGTATAGATCGTGTTCTACACGCTCGATCCCATCCACATGATGGTCCTCGTCGGCACTATCTTCGATCTCCTGATACTCGTTATGCCATCCCACATCCTTGAATGGCACAGCCTTTCTAGGCTTCTTTTCTTGCTCCTCACGCTGCTCATCCATCTTGCCAAACTTCTCGTGATTGGGCTTCAGGAAACGTTGGTAAAGATCAAAGTTCAGAGGATCAGGCATGGCCACAGTTTTCTTGACGCTCATGTACACCGTACGGCCGCGCATGTAATCCTTTAGGTAGCTATATGCCACGCCCAACGGCAACTGGAATTGATGGCAAAGTTCCAAGGATGGATGAGTGGCCTGGAACAAGACTTGATTGTCAATCAGCAGGGCGGAGTACTTGTAACCCTCATCGGGCAGGAGCACTTGAAGCTCCAAGGTGGTCAGAGTTTGATAGTAGTTGGTGGGCGGACGCACCACATTCGAGGGGAGTTGAAGCTGCATGGTGGGGTCACGTGGCTTAGTGACTGTGAATTTGGAAATGGAATCTTTTGTGGCTTTTTTCTTTTCGGTTCTTTTTTGTGGCTTATCGTTAGTGACTTCTGGATAACCCTTCATTATGTCAATTAATTTGGTTGCTCCAGTGAATGTGTCAGCGAACATATGGTTGTCATCCTCCTCCGCTTCCAGCTTGGCAATGATTTTAATGTTTTCGATGCATTGAATGAGCTGGTTGAGGCTTTTATTGGACTCTGCAGACTGGTCTTCTGGATCTTTTGGTATCTGCTCCGGCTGCTTGGACTCCTTCTCTTCCTTCTTCAGCTTCTTAGCCTCGTCTTTTGGGTCTTTCTCTTCCTGCTCCACCTTCGCAGCCTCGTCTGGTGCCTCCTTGACCTTCCGCTCTCTAGCCAGCATGTTACGCTTAACCTGATCCAAGCCCATTTGGATCACACTCAAGGCTCTTCCCTGTATAAATGTCTTATTGGGAGGATTGTTCTCCTTGGTTTCATTATTATTCTCCTCCTTCAGCTGCTCCTCTGCCTTCAGCTTCTGCTTGTCATCCCCCTCCTCTTTCACCTCCAAAACCTCCTCAAAAAAGGTAAATATCGTATCCTTTGCCAGCGGACAGCTTTTGGCCAACTTGGCTTTGATGAGATGCTGGCCAAGGCTCAGCTTGCGTACATGCACCTTCATGGCGCTGGCATAAAACATGGCCACCAGATTGCTAACGAAAATAGTGTGAGAGGTGGCAAACTGTATGGTGGCCTGCAGGAAGCATCCATTGGGCAGATTCTTCAGCTTGTACTCGATGTCACGGCGATCCTTCTCCGACCAGCCACGTTCCCCGGATTGGGGAATCAAACCAAACAAACGCAAATCAATGGCCAAGGGCGGTTCCGCTTGCAACTCCTCCGGGCACTTGTACAGACGCCCACTTCGCACGCTAAAGATCTGGGTATCCTCATCCATGGCCTGGACCAGGACATATAGATTGTTAAGGTATATATTTACGTCCTCAATGGGCGCCACCTTGAGTACCCGGACGCGGACATTGATGGCTTTATTGCGATACAGGCAGATGGTACCAGCAATGGGGGGCCAAAAGCGTTCCATGCTGCAGTTGCTCTGCAGCAATTGAAGGCGCATTTGTTGAGCCGGTAGAGATGGATAGGGTTTCCATGATTCACCCGGCGGCAAATGCTCCAAAAGATGAACGCATAAATGTGTGGGCGAATAGACACGCACCAGGCTTACCTTGATATCACCCAAGGTGGGCACTGTGGCAAGGGGTCGATCCATATGATCAGCATGATGACGTTCCTCGCATTGCTTATTGATGCAATCGCCCAGCATCATGATCTGGCGACACACCACATTCTGATTGGCTTCCAGCTTGGCAAACTTTTCGCGTATCTTCTTGGCCAGGGCTTTGATTTCCTCATCCACGGGCTGGTGCTTGCCCACAAAGTCCACAAGACGTGGCAGCTGCTTTTGATTGGATTCATCCAGCAGAATCAAGGAATGAGGCTGTAAGAAGGTCCCCTTCTCACTGGTGGAGGAGTCGCTAACCAGTCTGTTGACCAGATTCCCGGAAATGGCCAGATGACGCATCTTGAACTTGCCCCAGCTAAGGCTCATGCTGTAGTGGATCAGCGTGTGGGCATGCCGGATGCTTAGCTCCGGGCAGTTGTCGGTGGCCAAAAGGATGATGCCTTGTGTATCCACTAGCCAGTCTTGAACCTGCTCAGCCACCTCCATGTCGGCATCCTCGTAATAAGGCAAACAGCTAAATGAGGGCTCCTTCTCCTCCAGAAGATGAACCACCAGGCGTCGCATATCCGCATCATCACTGCAAAAGATCACCGTGCGATATTTTTGAGGCGGACGCTGCTCCAAAATCTTGAGCACCTCGTTGAACTTTTTCTGCTGCGGACATATGGCGATCCGTAGGCGCGCCTTTCCATACAAAGCTGCCTCCAGCATGTCACCAAAGATCAATACCGGATTGCTGTTTAGCAGCTTCAGCCGGGCCATCTGGACGGGATCATAGGTCTGGGAGATCATCACCAGCTGCGGATGGCTGTGATCCATGAGCATTAGATTCTTGAGCACCAGCTCCGCCTTTGTCAACAGCCTCGGATCCATCAGATCAATATCATCGTAGACAACGAACTTCAGGTGTTCGAACTTCATTAACTTCTCCATGTCCTTGAACATCCAGACCAGCTGGGCAGGTGTGGCCACCAAACAGCCAACGCCATTGAAAAGGCAATGGAAAAACTCCGGATTATTGTCAGAGGGTATGTTCAGTACGAGCGTATAGGTTGTAGCGTGTTTTAGCTTCCGCAAAAAGGCATGGCACACGGCGCTCACGTGGCGCACTCGCTCCAAGTCCTTTACCAAAATCACGGCCAACGCTCCCAACAGATTGTCAGTGTCCACGGTGGCCATAATAGTGCGACTAATCACATCGCAGACAGGCGGTAGATAGCTGAAGGTGCGACCACTGCGCGGTGCAGCCACAACCATGGCACCGTGGCCACGGTCAACGATCAGGTGGGGCCATGTGTGGCTCTGCACGCGCAGCAAACGATTCAAACGCAATTTGTGCATCATCTCCAAGATGTGCGGCAGCAGGATCACCTCGGGCAGCTGGCGCACCGGACGTAGGGCTCCCTTTGAATGGGCCAACACAAAATCGGTGCAATTGGTGGACAATAGCGGACGCGGACGGATGGCTTCCAAGAGATTGTTGGCGTCCGTCTCGGGATCAGCTTCTGTTTTTGGTTCGATTTCCCTAAAGAAAGACATTTTTCTTGGTTTTTTCAGCTCGACAGCTTTTTTCACTCCTCTTCGATTTCCTTGTGAAGTTTTCTGCTGCAGGGATAACTGTAAGTCGCAGCTGCAGCACTTATCGTTAATCGAAATCGGCCGCAATTACACAAAACATACACATACACAGAGAAAAATAATTGTTTATTTAGGGATTTGAAAGCCAGTGCGGCCACTCCTGAATCTCATTATACAGCGTCAGTCCTGGACTCTGGGTACTTATCACCTGCGAGGCGGCGATCAGGGCATAATCCTCGCTCAGTTCCCCCTTACGAATCCCGCAGCTTAGAAGACTTTTGGCCGATTGTAGCGCCGCCACCGTAGGAAGTTTGTCTATCGGAAACAATGTGTGTCTGTATGTGTGTGCTTTTGACAAAAAATAAAAAAAAACAAAACTTACCCACATAACTGCCTATAAAAGCTATGCCCGTGCCGTTGGCATTGTAGCCATAAGTGTGGGCTCCACGTAATCCCCAGCCAGTGCCCTCGTAAACAATGCCATCACTGCCAATTAGAAAGCTGTCCGGCAGAGGGGAAGAGTAAGTAGTGTGCCCTTGGGAGTACCTCCCCACGCTTACTTGTAACTAATATCCTCGTAATCCAGCTCCGTTTGATGATAATTCTGCATATTCTGGAGTATCTCGGCGCACTGGAGTAGCCCCGTGCACTCGCCGGTGACCGTGTGATGGATAACCACATAGCGTATGGGACGGATTTGATAGTGGAGACCCTGTGATGGCTTACCACCCCATTGACGCTTCAACTTGATCGTTGGGCAGTCATCCGCCTGTGTAGTTCGGTGACGCGATGGCTTGCCGGCGGTGACCAGGAGGAGGAGGAGGCAAACAGCAGCCAGTAGCTGAGCAGCACAACGAGAAGCGGAAAGCATGATGCGCAGAGATCTGATGCCAGAGGGTAACTGCTCTTCTCAGGGCTTATCAGTTGCGGATTTTATTATTGCCAGCTTGACAAGCTTTTGCGAGGGATTCACTCTCTGAGCTGGCGAGAAGGGGAGTCCCGGAAGGGGGAGATCTTTAGAGCAGATCGGTGTTCTTTGTGCGGTTTAAAGCAAAACAGGTTGAACCCCAAAGATCTGCGTCGGCATTTCCGATTTCAAGCTGTGTATAAACCTAATTAGTGACGAATGTGTGAGGCTATGCGATGTTAACACATAAAATATGTAATTAATTTTATATGTAAATAAAGCGCCTGATAAGCAATTAAAGTGAAATCAACTTAAAATGAACCATTATTTATATGTAATTTTTATTTTAAACCATCTACTCGCCTGAAAATACTCTTCTGTTTAGAGTTTCTACTAAAAAAAGTTAATTGATATTAATTATTTTTTATTTATTAAGCATTTTTAAAAACCTGCAAGCCAAGAAAATCTAAAAATGAACCCTTAAATCCCCATAAAAAAGCTTTTATTTAATTTAAAGTCATTGAGTGCTTACAATTTATTTAAGATCGAATTGTTTTGTGCCCTAACCTTATTACCTAATTTCTTCTCGTCTTAATTGTAGGTTACATAATGAATTTCTGGTTACATAAAATAGGAATCACAATTTTTTTTTTTTTCAAACTTTCTTTGAGGTTATGTCGCAGACACATGCCTCCAGCACTAATACATACACCGAGTTTGAGGTTAGGATTGGATTTTCTTAACATAAAACATACAAACACTGAATAAAATCGCAGATTCACACTCCTCACTTGACCAGCTTGGCCATCATGGTGGTCAGCTTCTCTTCATCGGCGCCGCTGAAGGATCCCACTCGCCGGTTGTTCTTCAGGAAGACAAAGGTCGGCATGCTGCGCACCTTGTAGCGCTCCGTCAACTCGTCATACTTGTCCACATCGACCTTGAGGACCACCGCCTTGGAGGCATACTTCCTGGCCAGCGCCTTGACCGTGCTGTCCATGCCCTTGCAGGGGCCGCACCAGTTGGCGTAGAAGTCAAGCACGATCAGCTTCTCGTCGGCGGCCTCCAAGCGCTTGTGGTAGTCGTTCATGCTGCGTATAGCGGTCATGGTTGCGGGTTGACTTGACACGGTAACGGATTTTAATTAAGTTCAGGAGTTACGGAATTGCTTCTGCACGGGTCAAGTGGCGGTGGGGGTCATTATATACCCTCCAGATCCTGGAATTCCCGCCAAGTTGAAGCTTTTCTTGCTTCTCTTGCTCTCTCCCTCTCTTTCACTATTTTTCCTCTCCTTTTGGCTAACGAAAATTAAAAATGGCTGCCAAAGCAAAATGTCCGTCGCAGCCAGCGTAGCCAATCTAGCTTTTTAACCGCTAGATCTGGCAGGATAAATTGAATTGACAAAATACTGCGTTATTTTTTAGCTTTAATCGAAATTTTCTGTCTGCTTCTAGCCTTTTTTTTCAAAGCTTAGGTAGCTTTTTTTTATGCTGTGAAGAGTTGCCAGCACTGGTGGCAGCAGTATGGCCAGACGATGAAGGGTTCTTCGACCACCCAAGGTCACACTGCTTTGAAGCCCGGAAAAATTTAAATAACCATAGTGTGCTGTGCGTATAAGTCTTTGAAATCAAGTTAGTCACTTATGTCAAATTCGTTTTCGTTTTATTCCCCTTTCAGACTTTGATTCGAACTGATCGCCTCACCCGATACAGTTTTTTCTTGGAAATTTTCTGTACTTCCGCTAAATATTGGGGTTTCCTTTCCTCCCAAGTACGTGTAATAATAATTTCTGGTAAGCAGCAGCTTTTCCTTTAGGGAAAACCTCAAGAAATCCTCATTTCCTTTGTAATTTTAGGTAAGAACAATGGTTTCCCTGGTCAAAGACAAGGCCGAGCTGGATATGCGCATGTCCGGCGCCCTTAAGAAAATTGTCATCTTGGACTTCTTTGCCAACTGGTGTGGACCGTGCAAGGTCTGTGCACCCAAGCTGAATGTACTGGCCGATCAATATTCCGAGCACGTAATGATCTTGAAAGTCAATGTTGATGAAAATGAAGATATTGCCGAGGATTTCAATATAACCAGCATGCCAACGTTTATACTGATCAAGGAGGGTGAAGTCCTGGATACCATCATTGGGGCCAATATGGATAAGCTTAAGAAATCCATGGATAAACATATTGCTGAAAATGATGTGGATGCTGCTGCTGCCGCTGCTGCTGCCGATGAGGAAATGTCCATTGCAGAGGAACAGCAACAGAATGCGCCCATTATATATCAGGGTCAAGGCGAGATAGAGAACCAGCAACAGGGCAACAACTAAGGGTAGAAGGTCAACCAACTGAGCACAGGATATCCCTATATATATATATACAGAACACCTGACACACACAACTTTATATATGGGAAATCCTGTGGCCCATTTTAAAACATTAGTTTACTTATTATAAATATTATAAATAGAGATTAAAAACTGCCTCCGTGAAAGGGGAATTCTTAGGGATTCCACACAAAGCTTTGTTTCTATATATACTCATATATATTTATTCTAGAATTTTAAAATTAGGAGCGTTACAAAAAAATAGACTAGCTCGCCGACGCCGCCAAAAGCAAATAGATGGGAAGTTTGCTTAGCCAGCGAGCTAATGCCAATCCTTACACACTTAGCTTGTGTATGATGGAGCTCACTTTTTGGCAAAGGTGATTTTCATGGCATGCGTTGGTGTTATCTTGAAGCCCTGCAGCGCCTCCTTGGCGGCATTACTCTGCAGCTCGGTGGTGAATTCCACAAAGGCGATATCATGACGATTGGGCACCAAACGCACCTCCTTGAAGCCAGGGAACTGATTGAACAGCATGGAGAGCATCATCTCGTTGGTCTCCTCCGGCAGATTGGTGAGGAAGAGAATTTGATTGGGCGGCTGTTCGGTCTGTGTATTCGGATTCGAGTTCTCAGTGCTGGTTGGCTTCTTTTTCTTGTCCCTATAAAGAAATTTTAGTTGGTTTTTAATAGAAACATGCATCTTCTTCCATTTATAAACACTCACTTCTTATCCTCAGCACCCACTGTAGGCTTCGGAGGCTTTATCTTCTTGGGACGCTCCTTGAATGTACCCTTCAGCTTGGCCACCAGATCCGAATCGGACTTGGAGTAGGCAATGCGCATGGGTTTGTCGTAGAACGGGAAACCCTGCATTGTTCGCAGTGCATTCGAGGCGCTGCCGATCTCCTTGAAGATGACAAATGCCTGGCCGCGCATCTTTAGCGTTTTCAGTGCCACAATGTCCAGGATTTGGCCGAATTGTGAGAAAATTGCATATAGCGACTTTTTCAGCTCCTCCTTCTTGATCTTCTCGTTCAGGTTGTTGATGTAGATGGTCTGGTTGGGGCGCAAGTCCATTTTGTCGGCGTTTGTTTTAATTAAACCGAGAAAAACAAGATTTTTTCAGCCGGAATGAAAAAATAAGCAAAAAGAACTCGAATGGGCCTATCGATATCAAGACGCGTGAATTGTTCGGGTCTATCGAATATCGAGTGTTGATGTTGGTGGTGTGCAGCGTCTATCGAATGTTAGAGTTTTTGCAAAATAAAATGCCTTTCATAAAATTATGCCCATATGATACACTAATGCAGTTTTCATTAATTAGCTACTTCATTAGAACCTTGAAAGAGACCACTATATGTGTAATTTTGTGTAATTTGGCTTCGATTTTGCTTGGATTATTTTGGTAATACGACTATGGTCACACCGACCGTAAAAGGTAAACAAAAAAAACGGCCACCATTCGCGGCGTATTACTATGAATTTCTAAATTCCTCGTCGAAGTATTCTTGCATAAATAAATGCAGAATCCTTTAAATTTGTGTTTTTAACCTATGATGCTTCCAATTTTTTTAATTATTACAAAAAAAAAATGTTTAATTAATTTTGCAGAGCAAGAACCTTGCCACCGCAAAACATATTATTTTTCCTAATTTCCTAATATTTTTGGAGTTCAAAAAACCAGAGAAATGCTATAGAAATAAAATTCTCATTGTGAGACCATACTGTCAATGAGCTGGCTAATACATTTTTCAATTACAATTTTCTTCATTAAACCCGTATTTTGTTATCGAGTATCTGGTATATTTTATGTAGATCTATCGATTATCGCGGCAATGAAGTAGCTAATGCATTATTCTAATGCATTAGAGCGCCATATAGTCGTCTTGCTCGCACTTGTGTAAAACGCTATAGCGCTGTCAAATCTTTAATGAAGTCTCTAATTAATGCGGCAGTGTCATGCCAGTATTATGAAATTAATATTAATTGGAGACAATTTAATAATTCTTTTTTTTTTAATAATATTTATAATAATAGTACTTATTTAGTAGCCTTTTATTTATAAAAAATCTATTATTTATATAAATAAATGTATACAAACAAAATCTAGAATTTTTTGATATCCAAATAAAAATTTATTAAAATTATTATCCAAATATTACAAACGATTATAAATAATAATATTTTTTAAATGTACACAAACAAAATCTAGCTATTTTTTTAGAATACCAACAAAAAGCTAGCCAACTTATCGATATATCGATAATCAAGCTGACTTTTTCTGCTCATCCCTATTGCCGAATTGAATTGTTTGAGCCACGCGCCGGCTTTCTTGAACTATTTTGTCATTTATGCGGCTGTACAATGCTACCCAACGACGCCAACGCCAAGAAGGATCGCTATGCCAAACTGTCCTTCCTCGGTGAGGGTCAGGTAAGTGTGCCAGAGTCCATTTCAAAGGAAGCCCCAATCCCCAATGGCGGTTGTTTGTTTTCTGTTGTTGCCCTGCAGTTTGCCATCGTCTACAAGGCTCGCGACACGGTGACCAGCCAGATTGTGGCCGTCAAGAAGATCAAGAAGGGATCTCGCGAGGATGCCCGGGACGGCATAAACCGAACGGCACTGCGCGAAATCAAAATCCTGCAAGAGCTGCAGCACGAGAACATTATCGGCCTGGTGGACGTCTTTGGCCAAATGTCGAATGTCTCGCTGGTGTTTGACTTTATGGACACCGACCTGGAGGTAATTATCAAGGACACTAAAATCATACTGACGCAGGGCAACATCAAGGCGTATGCCATAATGACGCTGCGCGGCCTGGAGTATCTGCATAAGAACTGGATCCTGCATCGGGATCTCAAGCCCAACAACTTGCTGGTGAACAGTGACGGTGTGCTGAAGATTGGTGATTTCGGTTTGGCCAAAACATTTGGCTCACCGAATCGCATCTACACGCATCACGTGGTCACGCGTTGGTATCGCTCTCCTGAGCTTCTGTTTGGCGCCCGGCAATACGGCACCGGTGTGGATATGTGGGCCGTGGGCTGTATCTTGGCCGAGCTTATGCTGCGCGTACCCTTTATGCCGGGTGATTCGGATTTGGATCAATTGTCGCGCATCTTTGCCACGCTTGGTTCACCACCGGATTCGGAGTGGCCGCATGTGGCCCAGCTGCATGATTATCTGGTATTTCGGAATTTTCCGGGTACACCGCTGGAGAATATCTTCACCGCAGCCGGTAATGATTTAATCTATTTGATGCGTCGCCTGTTTGCCATGAATCCACTGAAGCGTGTCTCCTGCCGGGAGGCCCTCAATTTGCCCTATTTCCATAATAAACCAGCACCCACAGTGGGTCCCAAGCTGCCCATGCCTTTGGCCATTCTGGCTGCCAAGGAGACGGCAGCGGCAACCGAAGAGAAGCCACCGCTTAAGCGTAAGCTGGTGGAGACCACGGTCCGGGGCAATGGCCTGGCCCAGAAAAAGCGTTTGCAGTTCTAAGTTATAGTCATTGGATTGGGTCTTCTAATGCAAATGTTTTCCGCAGGAATTAAGAGATTACCTCAAATAATATCAGCTCCGTACTCAATAATTTGTAATCGCTTTAATAAGGTATTTTTAAGCGATTACAAATTATTATTAATAATCCGATTTTGAGTGCAAGTACAGCGATTGATATGCATTATTTCTTAACTTGTTTTGTTACAAAAGAAGATCAAGAGAGAAAGAGAGAGAAAGAGAGAAAGGGAGGAAAAAATAGGCTAAGTTTAGACTTAAGAATTGTGGAATGGTTTATTAAAGATGCGAACCAAAATGGTAAACATTTAAAAAATTGTGTTTGTTTTTATATTTACTACTAGTATCTACTTTCAAGTGAGAAAACTACGGAAATTTTAGATGAAAATAAATCGATTTTCTGTGGATTCTTATTTTTAAATTTAAAAATAAATGGTTAGTTTTTTATTTTTATTCTAAAATTTAATCGATTAAGATTTAAATTCTAAAAAATCAATTTAGATTTATTTTTATACCCTTGCAGGGTATTATAATTTCAGTCAGAAGTTTGCAACGCAGTGAAGGAGACGTTTCCGACCCTATAAAGTATATATATTCTTGATCAGCATCAACAGCCGAGTCGATATAGCCATGTCCGTCTGTCCGTCTGTCCATCTGTCCGTCTGTCCGTCTGTCCGTCTGTCTGTTTCTACGCAAACTAGTCCCTCAGTTTTAAAGCTATCTGAATGAAACTTTGCATATAGTCTTCTATATACTCTCACTGCTATATATGTCGGAACGGGCCGGATCGGACGACTATATCATATAGCTGCCATACAAATGTTCGATAAATTTTTCGAAAAAAAATTATAACTTTGCTGTTTTTTAACATTTTTGCACCATTTTTTAGATATGGTCATTCTATATTATTTCTGAATTTTCGTGAAAATTTTATGAAAATCGGACGACTATATCTTATAGCTGCCATAGAAACGATCGGGAAATTAATAGGAAACAAATTATAACTTCGTTGTTTTTCAACGTATTTTCATCTACTCTGAGATATAAGCTTATTTTATTATTGTAGAATTTTGGTATAAATTTCATGAAAATCGGACAACTATATCATATAGCGGCCATAGGAGCGATCGGTAGATGTAGAGAAAATGTAAAGGTGTGAATGTAAAACTGTAACTGTCAAACTGTAAACATTATAAGTATAGTTGAAATGTAATGAAATAATATCTGCAAGGGTATACAAACTTCGGCGTGCCGAAGTTAGCTTCCATTCTTGTTAGAATTAAAATAAAAACAATTCACTGAAAATCTATTTTTCAGAATTTTTTTTTTTTTGAAAAAATCGATTTAAATCCTCAATTGACATAATTTAAATTATATATATGCATATTTATATTTATCGTATAATTGTAATTTTATTGCTCTTTGAATTTTATTTATATTTTTTATGTTCATTTTAATTAAAAAAAAGTGAGTCTAGAAATTATTAAAAAAAATATTAAACATAATTAAAATTATTTTTTTTATATTAAAAAAACAAAGAAAAATATTAAAAATAATTTAAATTATTTTTTTTATATTAAAAAAATAAATAAAAATATTAAAAATAATTTAAATTATTTTTTATATTACAAAATAAATAAATATTTTAAAAATAATTTAAATTATTTTTTTATATAAAAAAAATAAATAAAAATATTACAAAAATTTTTAATTATTTTTTTTTTATATTAAAACAATTTTAATTTTTTTTTTTAATATTAAAATAATAAATAAAAATATTAAAAATAATTTAAATTATTGATTTTTATATTAATTATTTATTTGTAATTTTATTGTTCTTTGATTATATCGAACATTTTCGATTAAATCGATTCTTAAAATTTATATCGATCCCTAAAAAAATTTTAAAAATGTATAAATTGATTTTAGAACCTATTTTATTTCCAGATCTTCTAAAAATAGAAACTCTAAGCATTTTCCTACACATTTTCAGAGACCAAAGTATTCGCTGGGAAATCATTCAGTTGCTTGGGGCTTCTCCACTAGGGGAGATGCTAGTCTAACGCTACCGGCACAGCGTCCAACATTGTTTTTTTTTTTTTTTTTTCAAAAACAAATTTACCTCCGAAAATCTAAATTCCCAGCGCACCTTTTTGGCTATTGTTTGTATAACATTTACATACGTTTATTTTATTTTATTTGTTTTTTTTAGTGGGTTTTCCTGATATGTCCCGAAAACATAGGTCGTTGTCATTATGAAAAGCAGAAGCTCCCCCAAGCCGGAGGTTGTGGACAAACGTCGCGAGCGCGCCGAGACTCGTCGCAACTATGGGAATCTAGTATCCAGTCACAATATAATCGCAATGCGTCAGAAGCAACAGGCATTGGCGGAGCAGGCACAGGCCCAGGCCATGAAGAGTCCTGGCAGTCAACTGGCTGGCGGTACAGCTGCTTCCAGGCACGAGGAAAACTCATTGCGTCGCATTGCCTCGAGCTTTGCCCATGTCTGTGACCTGCAAAGTGGCTGCTTGGATGCCTTGCCACTGGAGGATAGCGAGCAGGATGCCAAAGAGGAGCGTGCCGAGGTTTTAATTTGCAGCCAAACGATGCCCATGCCAATGGACATTCCAAATGCAACACTTTCAACCACAGTTCCCGACAAGCAACAATTGGACTTACCGCTGGCCAGCGAAAAGGATGGCAAACACGATTCGGAAACCAGATTGGCAAAAATATTACCCTACACCATGCAGCTGGAATCGCGGGCCACCGAACGCTGGATGCGGGTGAGCAGCACCGTGTCCGCTCTGTTCCGAGCTCGTCGGAACATTGGTGTTGAGGAAACACCCACAGCTCAGACTCGACGGCTGCGGGAGCAGCGTGAGCTGCTTGAGGCCTTCACCCGACCCTTTCTGTATGAGCCAACCAGTCGGGATTATCCGGAGATCGGAGCTCAGGGGAGGGCCGAGGATCCAGCATTTTAAAATCAGAATGAAGCATATCAACTTTACACCCATTGAAATTCGCCGGAACATTGGACTAATGTTGTCAAATCAAATTTAATTCATTGGACCTTGCTTGGTAGAAGGCATACAATATCGTGGTTCTCGTTATCCTTCGGGGGGCAGGGGATTGTGGTGGTGTTGTTGGGCAATGGATGGGCAGCACAGCTGTTGTATGCAATCCGCGTCCGGACTAGTAACAGCGACACCTGTCGCGTGGGCATTCTGACTCGTAGTTGAGGCACTGGTCCATGCAGTAGGTATCGGCACCCTCCTGTCCCTCCAGCTCGCCAATGGCCACGCACTCTTGCCTGAATATATGGGAAGGTTTTAGGGTATTAGGAAGGATTTTGTTGATTTTAACGAGGTTTTATGGGCTTACGGGCAGTGGCAGGCCTCCTCTGGGCAGTTGGGCGGGTAGCGCAGACAATTGATCTCGCACCAGTTGTCGATGCCGGGCAGTGATCGGAAGGCCGGGGCACCGATGCATTTCTGGTCTCTGAAAGCACAAATAAGGAAGAATAAAGTTTGGAGGGGATCAAGGTAATGATCACTCCTTAAAACTCTTGAAGAAATTTGTTTAAGTTTGGGTTAAACGTAGCACAAGTCAATGATCAATGATCATTATTATTTATTTACATATTTTTAACTAAAAAAAAGACTCTACCCCCTTGACTAATCCCATGTAGATCCTAAAAAAAGACTCTACCCCCTAGACTAATCCAATGTAAAAAGACTCTACCCCGCAACTGAATTAATTTTAAAGCTAGTTAACCGAAAACTCACATCATCTCTGCCTCAGTGTGGCCTGTCTCACTAGCTCTTTTCCTAAAAATTTTCCAGTTACCCACAAAGTTCTTTTTTTCGAAGCCAGGAGTACGCGAGACCAGAAGGATGCAGACATTTCGGGAAAATCATCGACGTGCCGAGCAACGTCGGTATTTGGCGGAACGTCGGATCAGCTATGGCAATGCCGTTTCCAATTGCAATATGCGTACCCAGCAGTCAATTGCTGTAATTCAAAGTTACCCGAATCAAGCTCAACTTTCTTCTCAAATCACCAATCATAGGTCTCGTGTACCCTTGAGCAGTGCCTTAAGCTGGCAGCTGGGCAGATCCCTTCACGTTATAGAATCGCCCTTGGGCAAGAGCCTTTCGCCAATACCTAAGGAGCTGCCTGTTCCATTAGAGCCAGAGATGAAGTGGAGCTCTGTAAGCGAATATGAGGAGCTGCAGAAGCAGGCTTTGGCCAAAGCAAAGTGGCATGTGGCACCACCTTACCACCTGGGCAAAGGCAAAACGGGATGATGGTGTGGTTTAATTAAAGAGTTTGGTTATTTCTTTATATAGATGGGTTTTTTTTTTATAGAACGGGAGGGGAGTTTAGGGATAAAGGTCTTGACTTTGGCAATTATAAACAAATATACTTATAATTATATTTTAATACCCTTTTGAGGGTATTATATTTTCAGTTGGAAGCTTCCAAACCAGTGAAGGAGTCATTTCCGACCCTATAAATCATATATATTCTTAATCAGCATCAAAAACTGAATTGATTTAAGCATGTCTATCAGAAAAAATTTTTTTTTAGTTTTTTTCAAAATTTTTATAAGGGGTTACATCGTTAAAATTATCAAAAAATTAAAAAAAAATTTTTTTTTTTAATATTTAAACTTTGTAAGCAGATCTATTAAGGGGTTATCCGGGTTTTGAAATTTCAAAAATGCATTTTTTTCAAACTTTTTTATATAATAGTACAAAGTGTCAGGAATGTTGTCCGAAAATTTCAAGTCGATCGAAGCAAAACTGTAGGAATGGGAGTAATTTAAAGCCCAGCGCGTCGTATGAGTCACAACTGGCAATTAAAACTTTAAACGCGTTTTTCTCAAAACCACTTTCTTGAAGTCGGTAGTCAAGATTTCTCGAAAACTACTGGACCGATCGACTTCAGATTTTCCACACTTCTTCTAGACATGTTTTTCTTGTCTCTGAACGAAGGATTTTTTATATCTTCAATTAGAACCGATTTTATAACCCAAAATATGTCCAAAATGGACGTAAAAAGTGTAATTTTTCATGAAAAACGCTCCCAAAAATTCAATTTTTAATTTTTTAAAAAATCCTTCGTTCAGAGACAAGCCAGACACATAAGCTAACAGGAAAATTTTGGTTTTTTGATTTCAAATAAAAATTGACGGAGAAATCCTGCCTACCGCAAGGACATAATTTTTTTTAGGGTTAAGTTCAACCCTCCCTGAACGGCTCATTTGTGAATATTTTTTGTTCAAAATTTTACAGAATTTAGTTCAAACCTTATGTATTAGTGTAGAATAAATGAAATTTGCAAAATTGTCATAGGATCTTTTAAAAAAATTCTGGAAAATAGGCCTTTTTTTGTGGTTCTAAACCCGGATAACCCCTTAAGCTTATAAAAACTAACACAAAACCGTTTTCCGTTTTGAATTTAATGCATTTTTAGCTGAGCTGTAAATGTTTAAAATTTCGTTTTTGGCTTAAATATAGCTTTTCCTAAAAATTATCAATATCATAATCACCACTTTTTCAGAATTAAAAAAAATTTTTTTTTTTTTAGTATTTTTAAATATTTTTTTAAGATCTTAGAGTAGAATTTCTTTAGCCATCATAGCAAACTCTCCCTTGTTTGTTTTGTATTCGTTCCAACATGAACTTCAGTTGAGCTCCCCGGTATACATACGTCATTCGTTTCATCAGACATCCCCAGATACAGTAACTCAAGGCATTCGCTCCCTTGACTCCCATCGTTCCATAACATTTCGGTTCCAACAGTATACAAACCGTGATATAAACATAACAAACAATAGCCACGCATTGTCCAGTTGACTCACAGATGTGGCCATAGATCGGAGGAGCCATGAATCAGAAACGTATTAACCAGATGCGTTCCATTAATCGGGGCCAGGAGCAGGGCCTGCAGCAAATTCTACAGCCAATGGCTGCGAGTCAATTGCCACAAGGACAGGCAGGTGGGAATCAGGCACAGCAGCAGCAGCAGCAGCAGAGTGTGCGTCGAAAGATGACCTACACACGAACAGAGCTACTATGCCGGGGATTGCCCACAAGTGAGTGTGTGTTTAGTTTCATGTCCATGTCCGTGTCCTTGAATTCTAAGTTACCCTTGAACTCTGGCTTATTATAGTCGGAAGGAAACGTATTAACCTGATCAGCATCAATCTTCTAAGAAATCTATAAAGAAATCTGTGAAGAAATCTCTAAAGAAATACCTTATCCCCTTACCAATCTTGCCTTTTTTGTTAAACTACCGTGAATCCCCTTTTTATACCCTTTATATCCTTTTTCCAGCTCAAATTCCCCGTCGCTCGCCTCGCACCCGTGGCACTTATTACCAAAACAACACTATACAGCAACAGCAGCAGCAGCAGCATCAGTCAGCAGTTGCACCACAGACACCGCTATCTGCAGGCCCTGGCAATGCCACTTCCCCGATGCAGTCAAAACCACGCAGCTATCTGCCACGTTTGTCCAGACTTCAGTCGCCGAATCGAAATCTCACACGTAAAACGGAAATGGACCATCACAAGCCGGAGAAGAAGACAACGCCTCGTGTGCCCAACACGCCACATGCCAGTCATTGCAGCATTTCATATACAAATCCAAATCCAGCGCCTGCCTTGGGTCTGGGAGCCCGTAACTTCCGGAACGAAGTGAGTGGAATACCAGTATTGGATAGAAACCGGAACCGGAACCTCAAGCAGCGGGTAGAGCAGCGAGATATTAACAAAGAACATATAGAAGTCGGGAATAATACGGATACAAGCAGCCGAAGCAGCCGAAGCAGCAGCCCCACCGATCAGTCCCAGGTGAGGGTGGCCAAGCCCATACTCCTGCCGGGGGAACCACAAAACAAAAGCTTTGTCTATCTATGCAAGCCGGTGAAGAAGGTCAAGGAGCTGCTCACTGCCCGCCAGTTGCGTCAGAGCTGTGAGAATCTCAAAGTGAAGGGATACGAAGGAGGAGAGACCGTTGGCGAGTCATTGGAGCCACATAAGACCAACTCCGAGGAGTTGCTATACAGCAAGGCTTTCGAGCAGGGTCTAGAGCTCTCCTCCATAACCGAGATGAGCATCAGTCCGACCAGTTCCACGGCCAGTCAGCTTCAGCTTCAGCTCCAGCTGCCGCTGCAGCAGCTCCAGCAAAAGCAGAAGCAGCTGCAGCAGCTGGAGGATAGCAATCAGCAGCGATTGATGTCACAGCTGACCACGCGGCACCAGCAGTATCGTCATCAGTATCAGCGGCAAAGGGAAATGGATATGGTGTGCCAGAATTTGCCAACCCTCCAGCATGAGATCCGTTTGCTTCAAGAGCTCAACGAGAAGCTGGAGAGCACTCTACGGGGTAAGCAGAGGAGCAGCCACTATGACATGGATTGTCAGTCATCCACTGAGTTTTATACACCACGCTGTGGTCCCATGCTGTTCCAGGAGATGCCCGTCAAACAGGTGGGTTTCCTGCGTGTGGAACACCTGGCCAGGATCACGCAAAGAGTACACACTGTGGCCATGGCTTATAGCTTGGCTGTGGTGCGAGAGTTTCGCATCGAGACCAAGACCCTCAACGAGCTGAAGGCCAGCGAGGAAACGCAGTGTTTTTATTTGCCACAACCCAAGGTGGAGGAGCAAACCCTGGTGGAGGAGCAAACCCATCCGCCGCCCTTGCAATGCACTAATTTAAGGATGCTACGCGAGAATCCCAGTGTTTTGATCCAGCAGCTACGTCGAGGTGGTGGTGGTGGTGGTGGCGGTAATGGTTCATACAATCTCCTCGATCACGACATGTTTATGTTCATCAATAGTTTGTCCAAGAAATCGGATGAGAGTTTTCTCTATTCCAGCCTGGCGGTGGGGATTCCCACCAAGGATAACTCTGGTGCTGTGCCGGAGTATCATCATCATCATCATCATCATCAACAGCTGCAAGTTCAAGCGCAGTCGCAGGTCCAAGAGTTGACAGGAAAAATGGTCCATAGGCAGGTCAACAGCACTACACAAACGGAGGAGCAGCAAGGACAGGGGAAAGATCAGGAAAAATATCAAGGAAAAGATCAGGGAAATGATCAAGGAAAATATCAAGGAAAAGATCTAGTAAAAAATCAAGGAAAAGATCAAGGAAAAGATCAAGAAAAAGATCAAAATCAGGAACCTCTAGAAGCTCTCCAATTGGGTTCAGATCAAACCCAAGTTCAGGCCAAAAAGGACTCTAAAAATCAAAAGCAGCAACTGATAACTACCAGAAAGAAAAGAGTTATCAAGAGATCACCCATTAAGTGCAATGTTGAGCCCAAGGTTCACATGAAGCTCTTCAAGACCGTGCTGGTGGGCCTCGTCCAAGTTGCTGTCTTTCTAGTTCTCATCATGGCCTTCATGTATCCGGATGTGAGCTGTTGAATTGCTAAGAAAAACCCCTACAAACAAAAAAAAAACTCGAGAAAAAAACCAAAGAGGCGATAATCAAAATTTATACGAAAGCAACTGTCAAAAGGATCTGCAATCTGCAATCTGCAATCAGCAATTTGCAATCTGTAGTCTCCAACTTCCCATTTCCAATTTCCTATCTATATCCAGGTGCAAATCCGATCTTACCCCCTCCCTCACAGAATATATAAAAATAACACCGCCGATTTGGTTCGAGTTTTACACTTTGGTTTTTCAAGCATTTGTGTTTTAGGTTTATTTTAAAATAAAATTTCATGTGTAATGTGTGAAGCATTTTAGGCGTTTTTTTTATTATGAAATTCAAATTTATTTAAGCTTTAATTATATATATACAGCAGTTTGTGCAAGTGTGTGTGTGTGTGTTCCCTTGACCCTTAAATGCAGTGTTGCCAGGTTGGATATTGAAAGGTCCTTGCCGCTAAAGTGTGACCTTGCCTCAAAGATTTTGGTTTGAATTAGGACCTTTTTTAAAAGTTTTCCAAATAAGGTTCACGTTTTTCAAGAAAACTTATTTAATTTAATTTTAAATGTAGTACTTTTTTAATTAGGATTTTTATTAAAGATTTTCGAGATTATTTTATGTTTTATTTTTATTTATTTATATTTATTAAAATAAATGTTCCTTAGTTTTTCTTTGTTCTTTTTCTATTTAAAATTTGTTCTTAATTTTAATTTTAAAAATAATTTTATTTAAATTTGGCAACACTGTTATATTTTTTTATGACTTAAATGTACACCGAAATTTTTACCTTTACCCATTTTTTCGTTATGAGCTCTGAACTCCAGCGGGATGATTTTGTATATGTCTGATTTGTTGGGCTAAAAAGCGTTTGCGAAGCGAAGGAAGAAGCGATATATATATATATATATATATTTATACATATATATCAGGTAAGCGGATTTAGCGTGGTTAAGCGGGTTTAAGCCCCTTGCCTCGTTTGCGCGCATGCCGCGTGGCATTGCTAGAAACCAAAGCAAGATGTTATTACTCTCCAGTAGAAAAAATATATATTTCTTATAGGAATAAACCAGTGATTAGATAGGAGAGCATAGAGGATTATGGGAAAAAGGTCAGAAAATTGAAAGAAAACTAAAAATGAAGTTAAAAAAATTCAATTATGAAAATTTAAAGAAAATTAAAAATCAGACAATTAATTAATTGAGTCAAAAATAAAAATTCAATACAAACAATACTATATAAAACAATAAAAAAAATACAATAAAGATACAAAAACACAGGGGAAATAAAGTTTAAAATGCATGAAAATGTTGGAAAAAAGGTGAAGAGCCCTTTTGAAAATATTCAAAAAAATTAAATGAATTTGAAAAAAAATATAAATATTTTGTAATGAGTAGCAGAAACCTTGCAAAATAATAATTAAATAATATATTTAAACCCAACACTCAAATATTAAATAATAAATTAAAGGCAAAAAAGGGAAAGTTATAATGAAGCGAAATAAATAATAAATAATATGTCAGAAGATAGATAGATAATAGATATTATTATTTAGATAATTAATTATTTATTTATGGTTAAATGAAAATAAAATAATAATGCTTAAACTAGAAGTGCTTATTTTACAAATCAAAAAATATATAAAAAAAGAAACAATCATGTGAAGAAAAGATAAAGTTTTCATATATACATAATATATATAAACCTCGTACTCACCGCACAATAAGGGGAAATATATTGTTGTCCTCCGGCGCCCGATAATCCCGATAGTACAACAGATATGGCGACTTGTTGTTGACGAAAATCGGTGGAACACCGCCGCCAGTATTAGAGATAATTGCTACATCAGCACAATTGCGGAAAGTTTCTATAAAAAAAATTAATTGCGAATTAAAATTAGGGTTTTAATATTTTTTTATGATTTTTAAAATATTTTCTATAATTATTAAAAAAGGTTTTAATATTTCTTATGCTTTTTTAAATATTTTTTATAATTATTAAAAAAGGTTTTAATATTTTTTAAGCTTTTTTAATATTTTTGTATAATTATTAAAAAAGGTTTTAATATTTTTGATGCTTTTTTAAACTTAAAAATAAATAAATAAAAATGACAGAAAAATTAGTAAACAAATTTATTTTATAAATATACATTTATCCGATAAAAGCGATATGTTTACCATATTTATCGATATCTGAAATTTCGATATATTAAACTCAAGGATATTCATTTCCATTGGGCTATTTTTCTCAAGTGGAAAACCCCCTCTAAATACATCTATACACCCCCTCTTCTCACCTGCCTTGCCGCATCCAACAGCCTCGGTGCCATTGGCACAGGTGCCCCACATATTGGCCGTGTAGTACGTCCACTGGAGGACACACTGCGTGCAGGTGACATACGGTGGCAGTCGGACTCGGTAGCGGAAAATGTCCTTCTTCTTGGCATCCCGCGGTATCAAATATCGATGCTCCCGACTGCCAGATATGGGCAGGGGATATCGATCGAAGCACTCCTGGGTGGCCTCGTGCCGGGGATTATTATTCGGACACAAGAACATCTCGAAGCGGCCATAATGATTGGCCGTTAGCTCTACCTCCACTTCGATCTCCTGGCCGGCGGTATAGTATCTGGAGATAATGCCCTTGGCATACTCTCCGCCCGCCTCATGGGGACGCGGCGACTTGACATGGTAGGCATCGCCGCAGACACCGCAGCGTCCGCTGTTCTTCTCCCATTGAACCGCATAGCCGCCACAGAAGAGCTCATTGTCGTTGTAGTTGACGGGATTGGGGTAACCGAAACGCCACATGGCATTCCTGGCAGGCGGATCCATCAGTCGGCCATGGCCCAGGATTGGGGCCACTTGGATTTGGAGCAGCAGGGCCAGCAGCTAGAGGGAAATGTACATATATGTTGAATGGCGAGGAATAGCTGTGTAAGCTGGTCATTGATCTCCCGGCGACTTACCAGCACGCCCACTGGCAGGGCGCCCATCGTCGTCGTCGTCGTCTTGGTCATGGTCATCTGTCCACAAGCACCTCCAGATGCCTAGAATGCAAGCCCACAGGGAATATAATACACAGTATATAGATGGGGACTTTAAATCGAAACGTGTTTTGGCCATAACAGTGGTGGTGAGTTTATAATTTTTAATATATTCATAAAAATCTTAAATAAATAAAAATTATAAAGTAAAAAATTATTTAATAATATACAAATAACATTTTCTAGAAATCTCAAAAGGTTTCCATTGAATTGAAAACCAGACACCATAAATAGAATTTTCTAGGGTTAATTTTGATATTTTTCTTAAATTTTCTTAGTTGATTTAGTTCCTTTCTTAATATAATTATAAAATAATAAATATTAATAAAAAAAATATTAATATATTAAAAACCATGGCGAATTACCCCCTAAAATGTGTGGTGCAAAAAATCTTACACGTTTGCACCTATAATTCCCAACTCGTTCTAACTTTCCCTTAGGTTAGACAGTGTAGTGTTGTGTTTTTGTGTTATTACATGTTTTGTTACATAGTTTCTTATCCTAAAAGTAATTAAATAATTGTTTAATAAAATAAAATATATATCCTTAATTTTCTCTATTTTTTTTTAAATTTAATTTATTGAATCTAAACCAATTTTTATAATAAAAACCCACTGTACGTGGCGTACTGGCGCTGCATTAACCGCAGCTTGCAAGGACGTCCACCTGATCCGCTTTTCGACTTTATGGCCCTTGGTTGGTGCCCGTGTGCCCTTTATAAATAAATTCATGCCCACACACAGGCACACACGCACAGTCCAGAAAAAAAAATCCCAGACAGACAGTACATTTGCCACTTTTTGTTTAAATTACTTTATTTTTTTTGCCCAGATCTGGTTCCCTTTTTGAGGCTTATCTTTTATGTTAAACATGTTTGCTCGCCTGTCAAGGCTTAAAAAAAATTGTCAATGGCTTGCTGCCCTTATATATATTTTTTTTATACATTTTTTTTTGAGGCTTTTCAATTTTAAACATTATTTTTAATGGCATCATCTAGTTTACGCACAATCCGGGGGGCAGGCAAAGGGGAATCGAAGGGGGAATGGCCTGCATAAACGGGTTTACTTGAACCCGCTCGGGGTCCGGCCCCCAACAAAAATACAAAAAAATCAAAAGCTTTGGGCGTGAGCCAAGCTAAGATTTCTGGGCTAAAAATATATATGCAGATGCTCGAGTTCGATTCTCATTAAAAGACGCCAGAAAACAAGTATTCAAAAACATGGGAATATTTTATTTTAATAAATATTTTTATAGAATTTTTGTTTATAAAAAAAACTATATACAAATATGTTAAACATATCTGCAGTGATTAAGGTGTTTAAGCTGAGTTTATATATGTTTTTAGAAACTCTGTTTTCTTTATAAAAAAAATGTATTTATTTTTAATTTAATTTAATTTTGTTTTTTTTTTTTTTTAATTTTATTTTATTTTATACAATTTCATTTATTATTATTATTTACATTTTTTAATTTTTATATTTAATTTAAAAATAATTTTAATGAATGAATTTTTCTCAACAAAGTTTAGCAACTTTAAGCTAACTTTTTTACCAGCCTGATTGTTTTTTAAAATTAACAAAAATCCTTAAAAACTGATACCGCTTTTGAAATGATTTAAAATAATTCAATACCTTCTTTTCTTTAAGTGTACTCTTATTTATTCGCATTTTGATTACAGCAGCATTCTAGCCGCAAGTCTCCCTATTCCAGCCATCTTTCGATATGGCTTAAACGCAAATTGATTTGTCCATCGGCCGAAGACCAAAACAATGAAGAAGCAGAGTGGAATCCCCATAAAATCTGAAATATTTTAGTAAATATTTTCTTTTTGTTGTTGTTGTTTTTAGCCTTTGGCCATTGACACTGGCGGGCAGTAAATTTTGTTATTTAACGAGCGCAGCAATTATAATTTTACAGGGTTTTTTTGGGATAAGGAAACTGCTCGTAAATGTGATTTTATATCTCATCAATTTATTAATAATAATGCACATCATTTGCATTTGTCAACAAAATAAACAAGTGTTGAAAAATAAACATTAAAAATCAACAGAACAAAAAAATTTATGATAATGGAGAGTGAAAGAAAGAAAGAAAGAAAGGGAAATTTTCTTTGTCTGAAAAAATAAATTTTTTTTTTTAAGTTTTAACTTTATCAAATTTATTATTATTATTTTTTTAATTTTTATTTATAATTTTTATGATGGAAAATATATTCTTTGTATTTGCTGCCCTTAGTTGTGTCTTAATAAATATTTTTTAAGAAAGCCTCCTAATTTTTTATGATCTTACAAATTATTTTTAAGGAATAGGAATATATATTTTATTTTTAAGAAATCATTAACCTACATAAAAAAATAGTTTGAATAAATGTTTTTAAAAATATTGTAAAAGTCTAAAAGCTTTAAATATATTTAAACAAATTTTTAAATAAATGTTTAAAACATTTTAAAAATATTTTTAGAGGACTAAAAGCTTGAAATATATTAAAAAACATGTTAAATAAATGTTTTAAGTTTTTTTAAAAATATTTAAAAATGTTAATATTAGTCTAAAAGCTTGAAATATATTTTACATATTTTTATATAAATGGTTTAAAGCCTTTAAAAATATTTTAAAAGTCTAAAAGTTATAAATATATTTTAATAAATATATGCATAATTATCTACATTAATTTAAAATATAAAAATAATAAGAGAACTCTAACAAAAATGTATATATTTTATATTTACCTATACATATCATAGAAAATATATTATATATAAAATATAAAACCTTCCATCTTAGTAAATTTTCTTTTTAACTCCTGAGATCTATGGTTAAGGTTAAAGTTAACCTTTTAATTACCACCTTATAGCTTAAAGTTTAAACTCAACCTTTTTAATTACCACTTTTTTTTGGCTTTTTCCCGCCGATGTAATTAGGCATAAGTGCTTGATTTTTAATTGGAGCGATGAAATCAATAAGCCTGCCAGGTGGAAAATGCTTGGCGTTAAATGAGCGTGCTGCCTGACGACACACAAAAAAAGTAAAAAAAAAAACGTAAAAAAAAGGAAAACCAAAGAAAAAAGACGATTAATCGTCTGCCAAATATGCCAGAGAGCTGAGAGGGCAAAAAAAAAAGGTATATATATGCAGAGGATGTAAGTAAAAAGCCGTCCTTGCCAATAAACGTTTATCATAATTGTCAGGCCCGAACGCTGATGGCCAAATTAAAATGTACGAAATTTTCAGGCGACGATAAATTGAAAACCATGATGGCAGAAATTAAGTTGTAAATTAAGCTAATTGCATGGCCCAAAAAAAAAAAGAAAAAAAGGGACCACCTCTGTTTTATTTACATTGCGCAATCGCATGTAGTGCAGGACAAGACAAAAAATACAGGAATGAAATGCAAATACAATGGAATAAAGTTATATATAGTAAAATAAAACATATATAGCCTTGTGCAATCAAAAGTTGGTGTTTTTAGAGGGGCTTGACAGGGGCTTGTGTCAAAAGTCAGCCAACGAAAGGGACCTTGGCTTGGAAACTGATTCAAAATGAAGGGTCATCTCAGGTTGATCTTGTCTTATTTTACATATATATAAACATATATATAAACTTTAAAAAAACCTTTTTTCTTTAAGTTCAAGTTGTAATCAAGTTGTCAAGTTGTCAAGTTAATCTTTAACAACTGTCAGCCTGATAGTGAAAGGGTTTTTGTACATGTCCTGAGACTTGATTAAGTTAAGTTATCTTAAGGCTTGACCAGTAAAATGCATAATTATAAATATATTTAAATATTTCAAAAAATAGATTTTAGTCCCAAAGAAAGCTCAGGACTAAGCTCAATTAAAATAATTATATTTATACCTTAATAAATTAAAATTAAACATAAGGTAAACATTAATAATTCGCTCACATAGCAGCCAACACAATGATTTTTAATTATTTCTTCCGTGATGAATACTTTGATTTTTAAAAGGTGCCAACACATATATGGCGCCAGACATGGCTTAAAAAATTGAAAAAATTACAACAACAAAAAAAGGCCCAAAAAAATGAGTAATCAATTTATTAAAAAACCCACACACACCGAAAAGAAGAGCTTTCAACGAATAGGCGACATATATAAATCAGAAACAAGAAAGGTAGCAATTTTTGGCACGCCGAATGTTGTACACTCTTGCAGTTTGCAATTTAATCATTAAGACTTTATATATATATATTTATACATAACATAAATAAAATAATTAATTTTTAAATCATATATCTTAGATTTGAAATATGTAATTTAATCTAAATTATAATTACATATATTTATATTTATTATATAATGCAATTTGTACCTATTTCAAGCGGAGCTAAGCTTAAATTAAAAATGTACCTAAAGTGGATCGTGGCTCGAGAGTGTGGAAGAGTGCAAGCTGCAAGAGAGAGTGTCCGCTCTCTCGCCGCTGCAGTATTTCGCCATTTCTTTTCATTTTCATTCGCATTAGAAATTGGTCGGTCGGAAAAAGCGCTGCTCGTACGAAAAAGTGCTCAGAACTGTTGGAAAAACAAGAAAAATCGTCTCGCAGTGAAAAACTAACTCTTTGGACTGATCGGAATGTAAGCGCATGTGAAAATCCGGATAAAAACCGGCAAAAACAACGCTCGGACAAAGCTACGTGCCGCGGCCTGAAAATGCGGGAGAGTGCAAGCTGAAAAAGAGTGTGCGCTCTCTTGCCTAATCGGAGCGGAGCTTCAATTAAAAATGTACCTAAAGTGGATCGTGGCTCGAGAGTGTGGAAGAGTGGAAGCTAGAAGAATAATGTCCTTTCTCGCTGCAGAATTTTGCCATTTCTTTGGATTTTCATTCGCATTGGAAATTGGCTAGACGAGCTAAAAGCGCTGCTCGTACGAAAATGGGACCTAATCTGTCGGAAAAACGAGAAAAATCGTCCCGCTGTGAAAAGGGGAATTCGGACGTTTGGATTTGCCAACAAACAAACTATTAGGTAAGTAAAGATCAGCCATTACCTTTTCTCAATAGAAGTAGGTATATTCCTTATCTTAAATACTATATACAAACTTCTGTTTAAAATTATATTACCCACTGTAAGGGTATAATAATGAAATTGATACGCATAATAATAATCGCCATTATCATCAGCAACGACATTAATATAATTTTTGTACAAGTCACGATTCTGTAAGCACAGCATGACAAATCGATCTTTATTTACCTTTATTTTTCTTTTTGTATTTTGTTCTTTGTCTTATTTATTTATTTATTATTTAAAGCCCCTTTTGGAGGTCGCCTCGAAAATATTCAACTGATTTGCAAATTGGCACTGCCAAATGTAAATCGGTTTATATTTCTATTTCGATACCCGATTCTTCGATTCTCGTGCGGAGCCTGACTCTTCCATTTCTCCATCTTAATTGCTTTCGAAAAAAATCACTAATTGGTTTGTTGGGGGAGCGGTGAGCTTTTGGAATTGGCACAAAGAAATAAATCTATTTTGTATACGAAATTTGTTTACATCGATGCTTTTGTGTTCTGCTAATGGCCGATAGCGCAGCTCCACTTTGGAAGTTTACCAATAAATTAAACAGAAATTAGTTCGTTTGGACACACTTGTAAGTGTCTGTCAACTGGGAGGGCGAAACAAGCCTAAACAGTGAAAGAAATCTGGGTTTTCTTTGGAGTGTAAATATAAATTAATAGGAAATTGGACTTAAAATCAAAAGATAGATAAATCTGGTCTTGTTACTTTTTTATTTGTTGTTATTGGTAATAAAAACTTCATTTTAAAATTGGGGAATGCTCTACAAAATCTTAGAAACATTTTCGAGCTAAAAAATATTGCTAGGAATATGTTGAGAAACCGTTGTTTGTATACATAAAGTTAGGTTCCAGTTTGTTGCTAGAAACATGTTGAGCAACATGCATTGGCTTACTAGAAAACTTTAGCAACATTTGGTTTGTTGCTAAGAATATGTTGAGCAACCTCCTGCCAACACTTAAGTACATGTTGCTAGATTACAGCAAGCCAAGCTACTTTTTTTTTTTATTATTATTTAATATTATATATTATTTTAGTTATTTTTTTGAATACCTTAATCACTTTTATATTTCATTATCTCAAGAATTTTTTTTATTTCCGCTTTGATTAACCAAAATGTTGCCATTACTCATACGAAATCCCTTTAATTTAATTTCTTTGCTTTTTTTTTGTGTATAACTTTTCATTGGATTTATTGGGTGTCCAATTCAATGGCCCCTGGCCTGGACTCTTCACGAATTCCAATCACGTTGCCAAACACGCAGAGCATCAAACATGCGTAAATTTTATAATCAAGAGAAGGCTTCGATTGATCGACAATCATCGGATTGGTTCGAAACGGATCGAATCAATGCTATATGTGCCACACAATTTCAAGGCAAGAAAAATGTGTCATTGTGTCAATTGTAAACCGCAAATGAATCAAGGCAAAAATACAAAAAACCCAAAAAATAGAAACAGAAGAAAAAAAGAAAAACAATCGGTCTAATTAATCGTCTTAGAATTGAGGTTTCTCGATAGAAATAATATTGCTGAAAATATCCAGTTTGATTTCCGTTCCCGAATTTCGTTATTCTTTTGTTTAAGCCGAGAATTTATGGCCCGTACGGCGTTGACAGGCGTGAGAAACCGAACCCGTTAACTGCAAGGATGCAACCACTTTTGGTATTTAAAAATATACAAAGAAAAAAAAAAGTGTTAATCGAAAGTGAAACAGAAACTGAAACTGAAGTTGGGGGTCAGTAAACGACTTAATATAGCCACGGCGAAGGTCAGTGTTTTGGCTTGAAGAAGGGCTCTACGGAACAGCTGAGAGGTAACGGAGTTCAGTCACCAAAAGCACTGAAAGAAATTAGCTTAAATGGATCATAACTTGAAGATTTATTCGTTATTTAAATATAAAAAATATTCTCAAAGATTGTGATAATAAACTTTGTTTAAAATAATGCATAGAATGATATAATATTTAAAAGAATTTAATAAAATTAAATATTCTTTCGAGACCCACACTAAATTATTTAATAATTAATTCATAACTCCACAAAATGCAATAACCTTCACTTTTTTTTATATATTTTTTCGTAGAAAGTTGTCTTGCGCAATCGTAAAAATAATAAATAATGTTTAAACTTTTGCTTTCCACAACATTCCAAGGGCCCAAAAATGGAGAACCCTCAACGTGATGTAAATATTATCTATGTTATTTTATTTTTTTTTTGTAAGGTTTAATTTCTGTGTAAGTGAGTAATTTTATATATTTTGTTTGTGGGGTCTTTTGTTCGGTTTTCTTTTGATTTGGAAGGTTTGATTTTTTTTTTTTTGCTTACTCAGCTCATTGAAATGCACAAATGCCTGTTGCATGGGGCACATAAAAAAGTACCTCACCTCCCTCCACTCTTTTTTCATAGCGGGTTCTATTAACTGCACATCGGCATCGACACCCTCCCTGCCCCTTTGGTATTCAGTTAGTGTTAGCCCCTCTCTCTCGCTGGTTAATTTTTTTTTCAGGTATGCCGATCAGGTATTTCGTCCATTTCTCGCAAGGAGGGTTGGGATGGGGGCTCTCTCTCCTGAGAGAGATTCGGGGATTCGAGGCTAATTCGATTATTCGAATGAGCGGCAGCAAAAAGTGACAAAAGGAGAGTTCTCGGTGCTTCAATTGACGAAAAAAAAAAAAATAATAACATTTCATATGGAACAGGTGCAATTTCTCGGTATTTTTTTTTTGAGTCGCTGAACTGCTAATATTTTGTTTTTTAAATATGTTTTCAGCTCAGTTTGAATATTATTTTGATTTTTGAATTTTATTTGCACAATTTTAAGGTTTATAAATTTGTTTTCACTAAGCTCCATAACAGATTACATTTTATTTTAAAAGCTTAAATTTGATTTACAACTGGAAAACACTTTAAAAAACTTTTTCTTAGTTAATGTTTATACGAAAACTGTTTAAATAACTAATACTAATTTAATTTAATATTTTAAATTTTTTTTTAATATTTATTTTTGAGAAATCATATATTTTTTGTATAAAAAACATTTAGTATTTTGGAAAAAAAAGGTTAAAAAAAAAACTTCTTGATAAATTAATCTTTATCTTATATTTTGTTAAATGTACGCTCGAGTCTGTTTAATATTTTAAGTAAATAAAAGTTGTTGTAATTATTTTCTTTTAATTAATTTTCCTGTAAAATCTTTTTAACTTAAAAATCTCTTTTTATTTCCATTTTTAATTGCTTTTTGATCTCCTTTTTTCCCGATTTTAATTGCATTTTTCTTGGGCTAATTTTGTGTACAATTAACATGGCAAGGATTCATCAGAAACTGGCACTTAAAAAATAGTTTTCACTTAATAAACTTGAACTCTCGAGTGAATTAACCTGAATTACCTGAATATTTCTGTGTAATTTACTCTGGTTTGGGATCCACCAGAAAATAGTTGACACTTAAAATTGTTGAACACACGCTCGGTTGAGGATTTTATTTTTGTTTTATTTGTTTACTTTATTTTTTTTTTAACCGGAATCACAAAACAAAATACGGAAAAAAATACGTTTTTGATCTTGAAATTGAAATTGGAAAAATGTTGCAAGTTCAATACGAATTCCTGCAAGCCGGCTTGCAAGGGCGGGCGGTGTGTGTGTGTCTCCGAGGTGTGTGTGTGTGCGAGGGCGTGTGTGTGTGGCGCGTGCGTTGCGTCTGCGCAGCGGCAACGTTCTGAGTTCGTTTGCCGCTGGCCGCTCGAATTTCAACGACTTTTGTATGGAAAGGTAAGCAGCGACTGCGACTGAGGCAGCGACTGCGGCAGCGAAAGATAACCAACACATATATACACACACATAAATACATACATATGTATATCCACATATATAAACATCTATACGCTTCCGAGTCCCGTCTTTATTTTTATTTTAATATTGGCCACGCAGCCACTGCGCTGCCAGCGTTGCGCATGCGCAATGCGTCCGGGGGCACAGTGGGGAAAAACGGGAAAATCAGCCCTCAAAATAATATTATTAAAGTTTTAAAAATATTATGAGAGTAAAGATACAATACTGTTATACAAATATTAAATAAGAAGTTAAAAAAAAAAACTCTTTTAAAAAAGAAATAATTTTTTTGATGCGTTAATAATTAATATATAATAATTTTAAAATATATATTTTTAAATATAATAATACTTCAAATAATATAATATAAAAAAACATAGATATTATATTATTTGTATATTATAATATATATTTAACATAGTATATAGTTTTATATGTTTATTACATTAAAAAAAAATTTATAAAATAAAATACAATAGAGAAATCAATATAAATGTAAATGGTAATAAAATATAAACCTTTTAAGAAGTAAATCAATTTCAAATATAAATTTTTGTAATATTTTAAATGGTTAATATTTCGAAATGTTGAAATATAAATCCCAAAAATTAATAATTTTGCTTATATTTTTAATATAACTTCCACTGTGTGTCATTCTTGATTCTAGTTTTAGTTTCTAGTGGCTAGACTTGTCTTTGCTACACTAAACTAAGGACTAAAGCTGACAATGTTGCTTCTGTTGAGGTTGCAACTGTCACTGTGGCTAGCCAAAGAAGCTGTAAAAAAGCCACAAGAAACCTTAAATATTTAATTGATTCATCTCTTCCTAAACAAGCTAATTTCATTTAAGTTTATGTTACCATAAGTAGTAAAAAATAAAAAGCATTTTAATATTTAAGGTGATTTAAAGCCATAAATTCACTTGTAAATATTTCCGGGAAAAATATTTTGTTTCTTGTATTTATTATAATTTTTTTTTTTATATATAAAAATAGAAAATACTTTTCAAGTACGTGCGTAGTTTGCTCTACATACTTGAGATATAATTACCTAAAAAAACAGGCCCAAACAGCTGATTAATTGGCTCTGTCTGGAGGGCCTAAAAATGTTGAGCTATTTCCGTAAGCCAACTCAGCGATCCCCCCGAGCGAAAAGCTTTAAGAACCGCAGACCAGAGGCGTTGTCTTTATGACGATGAGAGGGGGTTTCTGGTGATTTTAAATTAAAAAAAAAATAATATAATATCTGGAAAATGATTACCTTTTTAAAGAACTATATACCTATATTATAAATAATCCTTAGTGGATTTGACACCCCCCCTTTTGGGCCTCAGCCCCTGACTGCATCTCATTTATGTCACCATCTCTGGTTCCCAACCAGATTTTGATTTATGTCGTCCACTCTGAGTGCTGAATATGAAATCAATAGATCGATTTCGGGCTCTTTTCGCTTGCAAATTGAAATCGTGACTTGAAGCTAATAGATAAGCCAGGGCCCAAATGTAATTGGTAGAAGCAGCCAGAACGTTCCCAAAAAAAAACCTTAAAAGACCGAAAAAAGAACAGCTTTTTCTTTGCTCTAAAAGTTGAATGAACTCAAAGTTTTAGTTTATTTAATTTTGGAAATAATTATAGAACAAAATAAAACAAATGTATAAATTAATTATAATAAAAAATAAGTATATATTTTAATGTATACAAAATATAAACTTTTTTTGTAATATTTAAACTAGCCGCCTTAATTTCGTATAACACTTGGGGAAATTTCTGGCAATCTTAAACAGCTGATGGGGACTTTATTTACTGGAATTTTTCCAGCAGAGCTGTTTTTCCACTGCGCAGGACTGAGAGAAAAAGGCAAAAGTGAGAGAAATTAGAGAGAGAGAGAATATGAGAAAATGAGAGTCCTTATAAAGCCGGGAGAAGAACCCAAAGGCAACAAGAGAGAGTTGGCCTCTCGCGAAACTTCTCGCAGCTGGTTGAGCATTTTTCCATCCTTACTGTGATTCCGGTTTCGTCCTTGTCTGCGGCACGACTTCTCCGACTTCCCCGACTTCTCCAAACTCTTCTCCCCTTCCTCTTCTCTCCTTTTACTGAATGATTAGGTAAACAACAGCGTGATCCGAAATAGAGGAATTCTCATATTTTCAGCAAAAGACTTTAATATATTTTTCTTGGATATTTAAAACAAACATTCATCATAATATTTTGCTTTAGGGTACTCTATTTTTTTTTTTTGCTTTATTTTCCAGCTAATATATGTATATATTTTTTAATATAAATTTCCGCGTGTGTGTGTGTGTGTGTATGAGTTGCCTTAGCATTAGCATACTTAGCCAGGCCCAAGCACATTACACATACGCACCGTTGGCTCCGCACTTTCACCTCTGCTCGGGCACAGGGGCTGGACTGGAAAATCCCCCACCACCCCCTAACAAAAAAAAGGGGGAAGGAATGGGTGGGGAGAGGGGGAGGGTGTAAAAGAGGAGGGGTTAGTCCATGGCCGCCTCCATTCACTGGCAATTTACATGCTTTATTCGAGTAATTTAATTGCAAATGTCCCATTAGTGGCAAAGTGAAGAGCCAGAGGGGGTGGATTTTTGCTTTGGGGAAAGTACAGGGAGGGAGGGGGGCTGAGGGCGGCGAGTCCTTAAGCCTCGGGTGTGGGTTAGAGGTAGGTACCCGCGTTTTAGCTGCCCAAAAATGTTTAAGTACAGTGCTTGAAAATTAACCGAAGACGAAGCACTTTTTGCCAGCAATTTTTCATTCTTCCATTTGGTTTTTATAAGGATATATATGTATATATTTTTATTTTTATTTTCATTCTCCTGTTTTTAATGTGGCATTAAGTCTTTTTTTTTATTTCTTTTAAATTACGGAGCTTGAAATTAATTAAAGATGAGAAGCACTTTTGGTCTGCCATATTTTTTCTTGTTTCCGTGTGTTTATTTATTTTTAGTTTTCTTTTTTTATGGCTTAACAGCACTTGAAAATAAAATAAATATATTCTGTTTATATATTTAATATTTTATTATTATTTATATAAGGATTTTTACATTGGTTTTATGAGTATTGTTGGTTTTAAGTATTTATTTTTAAGTTTTTTTGTTTATGGCTTAAAAATAGTTGAAATTTAAATGGGATCTATATTATATTATAAACATATTAATATTTTATTATTTAAATTTTTTTAATATATAAATTATTTAGATTTTTTCGATATTTTATATTAGTTATAGTTCATTATTAATTATTATTTAATTCTGTATTTATTATAATTAATTAAGTATTTATTTTTATTTATAATTAATTTATTTTTTATTTTATCACCTTTCACACACTGTTTTCCGCTTTGCAAATGTGGAAATAAAACACCAACAAAAAGGCTCCGAAAAGAGGCTCTACAAAGTGTTTAGGATAAGCCTTATGTCTGTATGTGTGTGTGTGTGTGTGTGTATGTGCAAAAGAGGTGTTAGTTGTGGGAGATTCAAGATGCACATTCCCACCTCCTTGACCTCCCCCTAACCACCGCCCTACTACCCCTGTTGTTGCGTGACATTTCTTGTGCTCTGGCTGCTGTTGTTGGTTCTGTAAGTGTCATTAACATAGCCAAGCAACCGCAAAAAAGCGCAAAATGCATCTCTCTAAATAAGAAGAGGAAGCAACAGCAGCAACAGAAACAAAAAACAAAATAAATAGAAAATAGAAAACTGAAAACTGAAAAAGCAGTAAAAATATACCAGCAGCAGCAGGCAACAACAATAACAACGAATAAATAGAAAACCAGCAAACCAAAAATGAAAATAAAAAGGAATAAAAAAAGCAGACAGACATATGCAAAAGGCTCTTTACGGTCTTCTAAATGCACTGAAAGAAATAATGTGAAACTAAAAAATACAAATATTATATTGATTAAAGCATATATATTTTTTATTTTTAAATAAATAAATTATTATTAAAAAAAAGGTATATTAGGTAGGTGCATGGACTGTTTTCTTTTATTTTATCAAAAATTAAATCATCATTATTATTATAAGTACATTCTCTTATACTTAATATAAAAACCACATTTTTAATAAGGATTTGAAGGACAAAAACAAATTTTTTAAAAAGAAATATTCATGAATCCAATTTTTTGTATTCATAAATTTAATTAATTATTTTAAATGAAAAAAAATCTTTTCTTTCATCTTAAAAATAATAAATAATACAAATTATTATTATTTATTATTAATTATTAATTAATTATTATTAATTATTTTAAAGCATTTAAAAAAGTCCAAAAAATAAAGAAATCAATTCTACGTTAAGCTTTTTTCTCAGTGCATATGTGCGTGTATATGTGTCTGTGTGTGCCTGTGACAGGCAAAAACTAACAACAACAAGCATACAAAATAGCAAATAAATAAAAAAAAAACCGAAAAGAAAGCAGAACCCAGAAACAAATGCTGGACAAAAAAAAAAAATAAACGAGAGGCAACACAAAAATAAAAAAGAACTACAACAAAAATAATAAATAAAAATGTCACATAAAATAAGGCTAAAGATAAGGGAAGGCGAGGGGCCAAAGATGGGTGTGTGTGTGGAATACGGGTGTAAATGTGGGTGGGATGTTTGCAAGGCATTTAGCTATGCAAAAGTGCTCATCCTTAGCCTCAGCCTCTCATTTGCCCATCGTTTTACCAGCAAAATTGTTACTTAAATAGGCCAAACACAAGTACATGTGTAAAAAACAGACACACACAGCTACGGATTACATTTACAGATGCAAATACAGATGCCGATACAGATACAAGTACAGATTTACAGATACAGATACGAATACAGCTAGTAAGAGTGTCGACATTTATGACTGTTGCGTAGATAAAACATTTTTTATTGCCAA